CCAAAGGGTTTTTTATTAAACTTCGTGGGAAGGACAGAGCAAGGAAGGGAGCAATTTCTGGTTTTCTTTCCTCTTCTTCTTTCAGCTCTTGGCACAGGAGAAGAGTTATGACCATTATCCCAATGCAAGGAGAGTCCTTGGCCTACATACTGGAAAACATCTGCAATTCCAGCATGTGAACTACAAGAGGGATTTTTTCCATTTTATCTGAGTAGTTTGTAGTCCTCTGACCAGAGTACCCAGGAGCAGAAGCAGCAGCTAAGTTCCTTGTTCTAGGATTTTCTGTGGTATGTATGTGTGGGTGCCAAAGCCTCAGGCAAATCCTACAATCATTTTACTTACAGAGTTACAGATATTGGTGTGTGCTAGGGGGAGAGAAGGAGACATCCTTGAAATTAATGTTTAAAATGTTAGTGTTGGACTGAGGAATTAAAGGGCTCTCCTTGAGCTGTAACACAGAACAAGGCTGCAGCCAGTGACACACAACACACAAGGTCTGTGTTTGCTCTTTGCAGGGCTGTGCTCACACTGCAGGTCAAACAGCAGTTCTAGTTCTGGCCTGCAATGTGTTCCTGCCTCGGTGAGGAAAGGAGGAAGATAATCCCTGGAGTCTAAAGGAAGGGAGGGGAGCAGACTCAGCTGTTCTGGAGCCTTTCTTCTTCAGAAGCTTCATATGAGGACATGCCACTGGGGAGAGATATGAAAGGACTTACTGTTTCTCATTGATTAAACTTTCACTCCAAGCTAGATAAAGACTTCAAAACTTTAAGAAACAGACTGAAGCATTTCTTCAGTCTTCATAGACTTTGGAGTCTAATTGACAGCAATGCCCATTTGCTGTATTTATTCCTCAGAGGTTGTTTGCAGCAATTTCCAGATTGGTTTTCTGTTATGTAATATCAATGAAGTATCTAAGAAAAATTTTCAGTTCTCATAGCAATCTACAAGTTACTTTTAAGGCTGATAAAAAAATAAGTGGAATTTCATGGTTTCTTGAAATCTGTATTTGGATTGCCAGTGTGAGTAAAAGAAGATAACTAACCAAAGATAGAGACTTGAGTGCTGCTGGCAGACTGTTTTCATTAAACTAAAAAAAGGAAGACCCTAAAACTCATTTCAAGGCTCCTTTATGCTAATTCTCACTACTTGTATGGTGGCAGCAGGTGAACTGAGTCTGAAGAACCTGGGCTGAAGGAGACAAGTGAAAATAGCACACCTGCAGCCAGCTAGTAACATGCTGGCTCCAACCAAAGACATGAAATTTCAGCACATTTAAAACACAATAAAAGGCTCTTGCAAATATTGTCCTAATATCCACTAAGGTTTCCTACATAACATGTTTTTGGGAGTACAGCAAAACTGATTTCCATCTCCTACACACTGATTTCTATGTATCATTTAAGATAATATGATGATGTCATAGAAAATAACCAAGAAACCATGTTTTTCCCCCACCAGAGTAACAATATATCCATAACTGAAAATGAACTGATACTCATCTCTTATTTTTCTCCATCTACAGACTACACACAATTTAAAATTAAAATAAATAGCCACTTACACTGAAAAGTCTGAATCTATGGTAATGAAAAATATATGCATCATATGTATATGCTGATACACACCTAGATAAAGGTGTTCACACAAGCTAAACATTAGGAGCAAATCAAAGAAAAAAAAAAAAAAAAAAAAAAAAAAAAAAAAAAACAAACAAAAAAGTCAAACGCAAAAGAGGAGAAAACCAACCCTGAAGGTTTCAACTAGACATAGTGCCAGATTGGCAGAGGTGTTGAGCCATGTGAACCAAATCATTCTCTCCTGGAGCCTGAATGCAAACTGACAGGGTGGAACTTTACTTGAAGGGAAGGAAGGGCAGCAAGAGAGAGTGTGGAAAGGACTGGGAGAAAACCACTGTACAAGGCTGCATGGAAAATCAGGACAGACAGAAAAGACTTTATAAAGAATCTAAATAAGATCCAAAACACAACAGTTGAGATATTTTTCAGACAGAATGCTGTCAAGAGAGACCTGAAGTTCAAAACTCTGCTGCTTTTTCCTAGTGTTCTGTGGAGAAAAGACTGGTCTGTGTTTATAAACAAAAATAAATCTGAACCTCATGTATCTCAACCACTCCTTCTGAAGAAAATATTCTGAAAAACCTTCCCAAAAATAAAGGGTTCCATGCCTGAGAAGTTGCAACATCACTGATAAAAGCAGACTAAAAGGGAGAAATCATTAGCTTCTATTCCTTTTCAGCCAAGTTGAAAACAATGACTCACTACCAGGGAGATTTTTGCAAAAAAGGGGCACCCGGTGTTTCAGTGAAGTCCTACAGAACGCCTTGCAGGTACAAAGATAATCTTTGCAGGCAATAACTAATTACAAAGTATTTAGCAGACTGAGAAGCTCTAGTGCAACACCTTCTGTTCAGTGTGGAGAAAATCTTTAAAGATATCCTGAAGTAATTAAGTCAAGCCTGAAAAACAATCACAGAAAGAAGCTGTAAAAAAAAGAGACACAAAGTTGCAAAGTCATTTCAAACAGATTGTTAAAATGAAAGCACATGTCCTGCACCAGCTCGCTGGAAAGTGTTAACAATTGTTTCCTATTCATTTTTATTTGCAAGACTCTAAAAGGGAGAACAGGAGTTTTCTGGATTTACATCATGCAAAAATCTACTGATTTTGTAGAGAAAGCTCCCTGAGAAGGACACATGGTTCAGCTCAACATAATCATCTAAAATAACAGTCAAGGAACAAAATAGAAAAAAGCAATTCTAATGAACAATGTTAGTAGCTTCCCTGTGATGTTATTACTGAAATTCCCCAATAGAAGAGAGAGTTACTTAGATCTGAATAAGTTTTAAACATATGGTGTTAAGTCAGGGACCCAGCTAAGGGCTGAGAAGAGGTATGTAAGGAACAATTCCACCAGCTGTGGCAGGCAAAGGTTTGAATTGTGTGTCAAATATCAGAAAAGGTATCTAAAATAAAGTAGGAATTGAACAATGCAGAAATATGTGAAAGATGATGAGACAAGGCCAATTGAGCGATTGTAAGATTGGTTACAGGTCTCCAAATGTCTTTCATGTTGGCACGCCAGCAGATAGAGAAATTGCCAATGAGAAACCCTGCTGATCTAAAAGTACAAACTCCACAAGAAACAGCCATGGAATCTCACCAAAATAGATTTGGTTTTCGTTTATGGTATAAGAGATATTGTATAAAGATCATGGGCAAACTTGTCTTGTGGCTATGTGCAAAATGACGGGATGAAAAAGATTGGTATTTCTGGCCAAAGATGCTATCTTCTGCTGGCTCTTTGTGAGTGTGTTCACAGAAATGGCCTTTTCTTGTAAATCATTAACATTATGTTCAGTTATTTAGCTGTGCCACTTATGTCTTCCCTGCAATGGGAATTGTCTACAGATGCTCAAATCCTGGCTAGCCAGCTAGGTTACAACAGAAACAATCTCTAGCTAAAATATGTTGATCTTGGGGAGGATCTATTCAAGACACAACAATAGATTCAAATAGAGCCCAAAAAAGCAAGCTTATTAGTGCCAGAACAACCAGGAAAATAAAGCCCATTTCACATTCTCAATATGGCAAGTAGTAAAAAATATCTGTTAAAAATCAAATCAAGCTGACAAAACAATGTTGAAGTGGCTTGGAATACTGCCAAAGAAAAGATCAGAACAGCTATAGACAAACAATGTGCACTGGACTGTGAAGCCCACTTTGCATCATCACAGGAAGAGAAAAAACAACATAATATTAGTTATTGCTATCATCTATCAAAAGAGTTGAGAATTTAGTTTAAATACCAGATAATGATAGTCAGACATGATAAAAGGCAGTACATTCCTGTCAAAGATGTGTTCCTATCTTTGTTCAGAGTAAGCACTTCAGTCTGAACACCTCTCCCCACCCATTCTTAATCAGAGGTGCTTGTATGTATTTACACAGCACCTAAAACACAGACTGCATAAGCAACAACCACCACAGTAACATATTACTCCAGTGAATGGGAGAACATAAACAAGTGCAGTCTACAATTAAGATGCTTTAAAATCTTCCAAAAGCATGGGTAATTTAATGTTGTGTAGGCAACTGAATGGTTTCTTACAAGAAAAATAAAAGTAACCCTTTGGATAACCTTTTCAATGCACCATTTTTTCACGAATGAGATGCAGAAATCACTATTTTAAAAAAATATCTACTTAGAATGCAATGATTCAGAATATTTTCAATTCATCAGTCAAGTCTAGTGCTTACTGTAATGCCACTAGGATGACTAGATGTTTATTCATCATTTTCCTAAATTTTCTTCTAATCAACAGCATCAAACAGGTACACAATGTGGGTTTGTACCTGAGAATGCAGGTTTGTCAAAGTATTCTAATAACAATCCATGTTAAACCATAACACACTATATAAACTTCCTAGCTGAATGTTAACCCTGGTTCTCAAAGCACTGAGAGGATGAGAAAATTTAGTTATGTGAGAAAGAGAGAACATGATAAAATTCCTTCGGTTTTTTTAAAGATAAAAACAGCCAAAAAAACCCACACGGTTGAACATGGGGAAAAGTACTTTAGTCACTAAATTACGATCCTATGCTTGATTTACCCACTGAAAATTCCAAGGTAAATATATTTTTTTCATTCAGTAGTATTGTGTCATTCAAGAGAAAAAATAAAACAAGGCTCATATACATTTTGCAAAAACACAGCACACCTTCTTTAAAGCACTGTAAATAGGAGTTAACAGGGCTTTGGAGCCAACAGCATTACCAAAATTGTGAAAGAGAATTCACAATGGAATGATATGGCACACAGAAACTGTGCAGTCTTGTTTTTCTTTCTTAATCAATCAGGTAATAGCTTACAAATACCTTTCTGCTTGTGACTACACAAGGATATGGAGTTAATACACACCAGTGAAGTCTCAACACACTGCAACAGTGTTGTTAGTGAAAAAGGTGGGAATAAAGGGTACCTCCTTCATCAGATGGCCTTGTTATCTCACTGCAGTAAGAAAAGGTAGGGTTCGTGTCAGAGCCATCTGATTTATAATCGCCCAGACTGGTAGAATGTAAATACTGCTTACTGTAACGGCTTGCTCTTTCTACAAAGGTAGAAAGAAATAAAGAATATCACAGTAAATAGATGACAGAAGTGCAAAGACAAGTAACAACGTAAACCCCACCACTGCTAACATTGCTATTCATACACTGATGGCATTAAAATTAGAGAAAAGTAAATTCTTCACACCATTAGTTCCAAAGCTTGCTTCAATATGTAACACAACTAAGTTTCTTCTTTGCTTTAAAAGAACAGCAGAAATGGAAGGTTGTATTGAGATACCAGAAAGAGAAGGGATAAAGATGAAGAATATAAAAATTTCCAGTGGAAAATCAAATTATTCCTTTATCCCAGCATGCATTCAAATGCATGTGGAAATACATCTATATATTGTTCAAAAGAATATTTAAAGTTCCAAAGTAGCAAAGGAAATGCATGTGAAAAATTCAACATTCAAAATAAACACTCCTACACAAGAAAAGAATCAATAAACTTGTAAAGCCAAAACCTGCTCCCTGTTATTACATTACTGTCTCTCCTTTTCCATCTAGCCTAAAATTATGAACGTGTTGGAGTAGCAAATAATAGAACAAAGCATAAACTCACATGCCATATAGGCAAAATGTGCATGGAAAAGAAATCAATTTCATAAATAGGTCACTTTCTATAACTCTGAAATTTTATAAGGTCCAACTATTTGGAAATTCTACTTATAGCAAGGACAAAGTAGGTCAATGCTTTTTAAAAGGCTACTTATAAGTGGCATGAGTAAGTTGTTTAAGATGAGATTTATTTCACTATTTCTTATCTCCACATGTGATTATGGCTGAAGTTCCTATAAAACACTGCTTTTAAACTACAACAGTTGTAAGCATATATGAAAGCATGCTTATAAAACATATGGCTGGCATATTGACCTGAAAATTTACAGTATCGACTTAGTTTTGCAAACATGAAAAGCTGAATTGGGGAAAAGTCAGAATATAAGCAATACCAGAAAGCATATGCAGACTCCTAGACTGAATATTGTCCTCCAGAGGATCAATGTCGAAGATGGAGCCAGGATCTGTGCGCCAAACTTTAAGATCTTTTTCCAAAGCATAGGAATTATAAGACAGACAAACAACAAAGGAAGTAAAAGCATGAAAGGAATGAGCTTTAACAATCAGCAATCAATTTCCTTTACCTAGAAATTAGCCAATATATCTAGATATTCACCCCAAGAGATCAGAAAGCTTAATTTCCTGCTTAAAAGAACTTAGTGTATTCATTTTAAGCACTGACATTACTTTAATGAGACTTTTGCTCTCAATTTTTTTACATTTTCTAAACAGGACCATAGTATGTTCTTAAGTCTAAATAAATGAAAACCAGTTAAATATCACATGTTAGAGTCTCTTCCGGTAGCAGAAGCAAAGTCATCAGAGCTATAAGATTATTTCCCCAGTTCACCAGCAGCATCCTTATGTGTGCAGATGCTGCAGTGTGTATCCCTATAGCTGACAGCTGGCACTATACAGCTCCACAGCTGACAGAGACACTGCAGACTCTCCTTTGCATACAGCAGAGATCATATGAGCATAAGAAGAAGAATCAGGGCCATAGCTCATCCAAAATAAATTTCTACTAATTGCTTAATTCACATAACCTCAAAAGCATCTATCTTTCTTAATTAATAGCAAAAAAATGAACTGAGGCGATTCAGCTGTAGAAATCTGCATTGTACACATCTACCACAGGATAAAATGATGCCCACTCCTGAACTGTGCCACTGTGTGCCCATGTGGCCAAGAGGCCAATGGCATCCTGGCCTGGATCAGCAACAGCGTGGCCAGCAGGAGCAGGGCAGTGACCATCCCCCTGTACTCAGCCCTGCTGAGGCCACACCTCAAATCCTGGGTTCAGTTCTGGGCCCCTCAATTCAGGAAGGGCATTGGGGTGCTGGAGAGAGTTCAGGGAAGGGCAACGGAGCTGGGGACGGGTCTGGAGCACAAGCCTGATGAGGAGCAGCTGAGGGAGCTGGGGGTGTTTAGCCTGGAGAAAAGGAGGCTCGGGGGGATGTTATCACTCTCTACAAATACCTGAAAGGAGATTGTAGTGATGTGGGAATAGGTCTCTTTTCCCAGGTAACAAGTGACAGGATGTGAGAAAATGTTCCAAGTGTGCCAGGGGAGGTTTATATATTGGATATTTAAAAAAGATTCTTCACCAAAACGGTTGTCAAGCACTGGTACAGGCTGCCCAGGGAAGTGGCTGAGTTACCATCCCTGGAGACATTTAAACGTTGTGTTGACATGATGCTTGAGGACATGGTTTTGTGGTGGGCTTGACAGCCCTGGGTTAATGTTGCATTTGATGGTCCTAATGTTCTTTTCCAATCCAAATAATTCTAAATTATCTTATATGTCTAAAATTAATACATTTTTTAATCTCTTCAGTTTCAAATAAAACCTTGATGTAAAATATAATCAGTCAAAGCACAAATCTACCCGATCACACCTTTTTACTATAGAGTTTCTTCTTGGGCAGACCTGGCTGCAAGATTTACTCCATATACTGGAAGTAGGAAAAAAACTGTCTTCCCAACTTTGTTCTGCTGGTTTCAGAGGTACCAAGCTAAGTAAAGGGTTGGTAGGTAAAGTATGACTGTGAGGACCCCAAATATGTCATGTTTCAAATGATTAACAGCCTAGATGCAATGGAAAGAACAGACAGAGCTAACAAAATAAATCCCATGGCTTTAGAATATATTCAATGTATGTACATTATACATTATCTACTACAGCTCCCATAAGGTGAGGTGTAGTGCTAACTCCTTCCTGCCAAGACAAATTAAAGCCAACACAAAATCTTATGATAAACTATGTGTTAGTCCTAATGGAGATAAATTATGCACCTACATAAAGTACTGACAGGCATGAGAAGGGGTAGGGGAATTGGTGAATGCCCAGCTTGTCCTGTTGGATCATGCCTTAGTAAGTGAAAATGTAAGTATGGCTTCATGGCAGCACCAGTGCAAGAGTCATTGATTTGTATTGATTTTATCCATTTCTGTAATCTGAAATAACATACATAGAATCAGAATCTTGGCAAGATATAACACAAATCAGTTTTAATTCCCTGGTAACTTTTGCCAAGGTAAAATACCCTTATATTCATGTGAGAATTGTGGTTCCTCTTTAGTAACAGATCCAATGCTCACCAACATCAATTTATCTTGATGGGTATAGAATGGCTTAGTAGGGTTAAAATTAGTGCCTATTTGCCAGAGGAGTGTCATTAATTTTAGTAACTAGGCATTTGAAAGAGTAGCTCTAGCTTCACCAACATACATTAAAAATCAACCAGAGGGATTCTGACACACTTTTCCTAACTGGCTGAACAATTTTCAGCGACAAAAAATACTCTTGAGAGCCATAAGTATGTTTTTCAGTTCGCAACTTTTTTTAAGCTGCCAAGGACATTTCACGAGCAGGGAGCTCACTGCTTCTTTTTAAACAAGTAGATATTGTAATTACAATTTTATTCCAAAAAAAGCATTAGCTGAAATACTTGGAGTCTGTCATAGTCTTTTTCCTTTAAATAGTAGTACAATTTTTGCTGTTTGGCAGGCACAGGAAATTGAGAATTTCTGTGTGTTTTGATACTGGAGTATGTTTAGGTGATAAGTAGTACTAATCTTTCAGTTCTTATAGCCCAAGAATCTATCTCAGGGATGTCCTTCATTCCAATCTGCTTGTGCTAGCAAGGCTTCAGCTGCTGAACATGGGATTGCACACAGGTTTCTTACATGGGGCTACAGCACACATGCAATGCAGCAGAGAGCAGGAGGTTTGTAGCACACACTAAAAAGCAAATTGCAAACTGAATGTCACACTGCTATTTTACAGAAGCCTTTCTCTTTTTCTTTGGCTGCACCACAACTATGAAGGTGATGGAAGATGATCAGCACCTGCCCTGGGCAGGGCTCTCTTAACACACACTTTTAGGAAACCCCTTCTCATACTAGGCTACTGTAGCTACAGACACATAAAGGAAAGAAATATACTTCCTTATGTGGGGGAAACTTATTTGGAGACTTTAAGGAACAGACTGAAAAAGCATCTGCCAGGAGTAACAGTGAACCTTGCTTTAGGCAGGAGGATGGCCTATGTGATCCACAATTTAGTCCATTTCACCTGCAATTTCTCTGGTTTTTGAGAGGCAAACTTAAAGCCTCTCTGTTATCACTACATATGAAGAATTTTAGAGTGCTGTCTCAGTGTGGTTTTTTGTATGCAGATCCTCTGGGGTCTACATGGCTGCAAAGCACAGAAAAACAGAAATGGGACACACCAAAACAAAAGGAAATGGGAAGAGAAAATTTATTACTGCTTCCTTTGCCATGGCAGACCTGTTGACTTTTAAGCAATTTCAAATATCCCCTTCAACTTTTCAATAGAGTTCATAACTATTAATCCAAATAATATGTTTATGCAGTACCTGTCTTTAGGTATAAATCTAATCTATTCTACCTCTTGAACACTCGTCCTTATCTTGGACCATCTTTCAGAACATCACTTTTCAACACTGGTACTTGACTTAGCAGAGATCTAATGAGTTAGTGATGAATTACAGCTTGAGATGTTTTTAAAGCTGTGTGAAATTGTAAAACACGAGATAATAGATATGTGCAATTCTGGAGAAATTACGGATTGACAGAAGGGGAAATTTCAAACTGGCCTCCAATATTTAAACATTGAAATCCTGCAGAATCAGTTTTAATCATCTTTCTTCTCTGATTACAATCTTAAGATTGGAGATATTTTGACATTCCTTATAGAGACAAAATTCAAATTTAAAATAATAGTAACAAATATCCATATATTTTTTTTTTAAATTACAGAGCAAATGATAATATACCTTCCATTCATTCCCATTATGATTTCTCTAGAAGCTGACATGGAACCTGCAGTTCAACTATAAGTTTTATGGTGAGAAAAGAGAGAAAATGAAATCTGGAGAGCGCAAACAGGGGCTTTTATCTTCCCCACCATGCTTTCAATAACAACAGTATTTAACAGCTTACCAACAATTATTCCAGGTCTTCTGTCCATTTCAACGATATGTGGATGCACACCTTTATAGGCTGCATCACTCACAATTTGGGTGTTTTTCCGTACACGCTCTGTTATAGGATCATCTACCACTGGGGTGAAGCCTCTGCCCTTTGTCTTCTCAAAATCTTCGTGATATTTTACCTAGGAAAACAAGGAGAATTACATTTTTCCCCAGGTTGCCATTGACATCGAATAGTTATTCTGTGCAGGAATACATATATATTTGGTTTATGAGGCACTTATAGTCTTTGACTTTGAACCACAACAGAATTGTTATACACATGAGATAGGCTGGATGGCCAGCCAAGTATATTATATCACCTTAACTAGTTTTTCTCATATTTTATTATCAATTTTGCATTTCTTTTCCATTGACACTGAATTAGGCACTAGCTTAAGCAGCAAAGCATCATCTTACTCTTACATAGGACACAAAACAGCCTTGCCCTCAGGAGGTCATCTGGTCCATTCCCTTCTCTAAAACAAGATAGCTGTTTAGTGATGCAGACAAATACACCTGTCAGTAAAAAGGTTCCAGCAGTAGTAGTTCTAAAGAGCTCAAGCATTTTCATTCACTGATAATTTTGACTACTTGTATAGTATCATACAAAATTTATATTTTGCTCTTTTTTTTAATCATATGTCAGCTGGCTTTAAAAATAGGTTTTTAGAAAGAACAACAGTTATTCTAAACTGCCTGCTTTAAAAAAATTAGAAAAAAGAACATTAGAGTACAAAGTGTTACAGCACCAAGTGTTGGAACAAAACCCCAGTATTAGTAAGAGTTATAAAGGTAGTACTGCTGATTATGCATATTTACATCACAAATAATTTAATCATCAATTAATTAAATTGACAAACATTCTCACACAAGCTGATGCACACAAAACAACTCATTCCAAGAACCAAAGTCACGCAGAAACCAGGAACATGCACAGGCACAAGGTGAAGTGTGTCACCTAATCCAGTGAAACTGTGATGCTCAAATGATGTGTGTACATTTTTAAAGAAAATAAAAACCAAAAGAACAGACATTTAACTGTTAGAAAACTTTATTAGTATTTTGAAAATGTTCATTACACTCCTATGCAGTTAGCAAACACTCCCTCTACAGGCGTACAAAGAAAATATTCCTTCCATACCTGAGGAGAGAGTTTCATTAGTTACCTATATTAATGGAAGGCAAAATCCAGTGGAAGTCTAGTGCCATTCCTTAGAACGCTCTAGTCATAGGAAGAAAGCACCCTACCATTGAGATGTTGTTTTGTGTTTCTTTGACATGCCTTAGCTCAGGTGTGTCTAGAAGCACACTACGTCTACCTTTCATCTGCCTCTGATCACTGCTGTACTTGACCTGCAAAACAGCAACAACAGCACAGGTGAATTTTTTGTTTACAGTAGGAAGGATGGTAAGAATCACACTATGCAACAGTACCTTTCCAAACCACAATGCCCAACAGTTCTCTTCTTTCTTTACATTCATGTGCCAGTAAATTATTTCACAGTGAAGATACAGATTAGCTTGTATATTGGTAAGGACAAAAGGCATATTTATTCCATCAATCACTTACTCAACAGAAAGTATTTATTTAAAAGCTGAAATTTGTGATTGTTTGAATGACATATCATTCGTTTAGCATCCAAAAAATAAGTGCTAAGAAAACACCACTGTGATTTAGAACATCCTTAAAACATATTTGTATGGCTGATGAGAAGCTATCTTCTTATTACTAAGACAGACGCAGTGTCTGTTCTCAGTCTGCTTCCAGGTTGGGATTACCTGAGAAGCTCAGGGAATTCAATTCTTACAAGAGGATTAATCCTTTGGAAGGCTTCTTACTCCCATTCAATAGCTAGTCTTTACTAGCAGCACAAAGCAAAGTGTCTGGCAAGAATCTGAATATTTTGTTTCCTAAAGAATGTTTGGGCTCTGGGTTTTGTGCACCAGTAAGTGCTGAATCTCTTACACCACATTTCTCCCGATTAGCTTATTTTGTGGTATATGACACACTAGTAGAGATGCAAGATTAATTATCTGTTAAAAATAAGAAAAGAAAAACATTCAAAATTCTAAAACACTGAAAGTAGCAGATCCTATTTATTGGTTTGGTAGTGAGTACTCTTACAGTTTTTTCTGTCTTGTTGAATTCTTCTACCAATGGCCTCTCTTAGTTCCTACATCACACTGTAACCTGGGCACTGTGTTACTTAATATTTTAAATTTACCTCTGTATTCACACCCCAAGTATTACTTCTCAAATGAGTTGTGCAAATCTATTTCAACAAGCATTTGTGATGAGAAAAATCATGTATGGAAACTGTCTAACCCTCCCTAAGATTATGTATTGGCTAAGAAAGCTCACCCATGAAAATACATGTCTTGGTGTCTGTGTTTCATAGGTAAGTTTGAAATAATATATGAGAAACAAAAATATATGGTACTGCATATTCTTCAAAGCCTTCTTAATTAAACAGTAAATTGTCTCAGAAAATACATTCAGCTATATATGCTTTTGGATATAAGGCAGTTTCTGGACAGAATAATTACAGCCAACATAGGTTGATTTTTATCTTTCTCGTTAACACAGAGGAGTATTTATCCCTGTAAATCTTGAGAAACAAAGTGAATGATTCACTTGGCGAAGCACATTTCATTTTCACAAATTAAAAAATTATTTAAAGTCTAGAATTGTTGTGAAGTTTTCCTCTTATTTTCAAGTACACACCTCAAAAATAATAAACTTTGGTAAATATTCATGAGCATTTTGAGAACATGATTAAGATATATGCAGTTACAACGTCAGATTCTGTCCCTTCGTCCTTAGATATATTCCCTGACAAATCCAACCTACTTTTCACCCCTACACTCAATTCTAAAGTGTTCATTACTTGTAATTCTCTTCTGACACAGTGATTCTGCATGAAACCTCTTCTATTTACCATATGCAGTGGCTTTGCCACTGATGTTATTTCAGTGTTGAGGACAGACTGCAACAAACCTGGTCTTATCCTTAACTTTACCAGGCTTTTTGCACTTTTTCCTTGTTCCTTAATAGAATTGTCTCCAGCTTCTTACACTACTTTAGTAGCAATTACATTTTATTGCCATAAAAGCCAAGAAATATCTTACTCTTTAGTATTTAGCAATGGGACCTATTAAGAACTACTCAGCTCTAGCACAAGTGGCATGTCACAGAGTGGAATGGAGGCTTCCATGCTTTGAATCACAAAAAAAAAAAAAAAAAAAAAAAAGACATTTGCACTGAGGTAAAATTCTCATTTCCCTTTTTTTTTTTTTTTTTTTTTTTTTACTGCAATTCATTCCTGCAATCTAGCAACCCAAATTTGGTAGCAAGAAACAAAATTTCTTGAAAGAATGACTGACCTCTACTGACTCTCTCCTTGAAAAATACTGACACCAACACAACCACTTATTTTTTTGCAAGAATAATCAGACAACCCTGAATATGTTTGTTGCACATATATGCAGTCCCTGTCCTCAAAGAATAAAACCATATCTCTTCAGTGAATGATGCAGTTGGATTTCTTTGACATAGCAAATGTAAAAGAAAAAGCATATCCATGTTTATATTTCTACAGTGACTGAAAAATCTGAATGACAAAAAGATTCAAATAACTTGCCGAGCTGATATTATCTTGATTCTTCCTGACTCTCTCTATCTCAGGAGTGACACTCACAGCAGTAGCTTTGCCAGGCTGCTCTCTGTAGTGAACCTATTATTTAAAAGAATAAAACATATATTCATACTATTTCAGGTATAGAAATATCTCCTTGTTTTATATAAAAATTCATGACTTCAAAGGTCATCCAGGAAACAACTGAAAAGCTAAAACACATCTGAAGTTTATTAAAGTTTACAAAACTTGATTTTTGAAAGATAACCTTGATTTTTTTCTGTACAGCCTGTTTATGAATGCATTTCTGTGGATATATACCCACATATGCACACAGTATCTTGGCATTTACCAGATTGGCCCTTGGCTCTACAGAGAAATAACTCATATTTGGAATGGATATTGAATGATATTCATATTCGGAATACATACAATGCAGTAAAGGCAAACAGAGCACAGGAAAAACTGAATTTCAGAAAGGTCCACTGTAAATCTATATTTGTCATGACACATAACTTCCATAAGGTCTCCATCTATGTTCTAAATTTTATATCCTACATGTTCAAAGGTGATTAAACAAAAAGGGTGCAATTCAACTGCCAGCTGAATCCAGCCTAATTTCACCGTGTGTTTATTTAAATGCACTGTAGGAATATCCCCTTTATCACTTTGTGACCAAACACAATGCATTAACCAAATGCACACTCCAGGCTGGATCAGGATCTAAAGCAGATAGGGGACAGGATGTGACAGGCATTGACAGACCAAGCAATCTAATGTTAACTCTGGCCCTAAATGCTGGGAAGTCAAATATGGTAAATATTTAGTAACAGATTCTGGCAACAAATTCATACCAATTAATATATTTTTATGCAAAATAAATGCTTCCATACAAAAGCAAGTTCTTGGGTTTCAATAAGGTTAACTGTGCAGATAAATACCTTATGGTCATAATTTTGGAGTGCACTGTGGCAATAAGGCACCAATTGCTTAAGCAAAATTGTCTTCCAGCATAACACAATTTTGGTCTGTCCACATCAATGTATTCCAATTTGAAAATTAATGTCTTATGAAAACTATGGTAAGTTTTCAAATGGATTAAACTTGCAAATTATTTTTTCTAGAAATTGCTGAAGTTAAAGAATCTTCACTAAAAACTATTCCAGTGATTTGAAAAGAATTTAAACTTTCCAGTGAAATTTGTACAACACAAAAATTGGTGAAAAGTAAACAACTGTGTGAGTAGAAAAAGACTACACAGACTGGCTTGAATCACTTGGAAAAACAGTCTTTGAACAGAATACATTTTAGGAAAGCTAGATATATCAACAATAATTCAGAAGTTGAGTTAGAGGGACAGAAATCTTGAAAATTGTGACTCAAAATTATTTTGGTGAATGCAGCAGAAAGCACACTAGGGAAACACTGTAGCTATTTGTGGACCCATGAACCATGGCTGCTGATGGCAGCTCTCAGTGAGGAGAGTGCCTGGTCTCTCATGGACTCATTAACAGCGTGCAGGAAGGCAGTAGCATTCTCTAGTCCTTGCCTTCTTCTCTGTGCTCCTGCAAATGGCTGTATCAGCCATTAAATACTAAATTCTGCTGAGTAGGTTACTGAGGAACCAAGAGACAAATAGGAGAGCAGAAGTTTGAGCACAACTGTAGCTAACTTTTTGCAAAGCAAAGAAAAATATCACAGGAAACAGATATTCTGTTAAAAGAAATAAACAAAAAAAAATTGGTCAAGATTTTCTGTAAAATATCCAAGGAAGAGAATAACATCTCAAAGCATTGCAGCCATTTCTTTAATAGAATGTGTGACGCTTGACCTACCATTTCCCAAATGAACAAAGCCCTTTCGCAATTGTTTCCTAAAAGAAGGTTTTCAAGAATTCTATTACTTGAATTCCAACACATTACAATACATTCGTTTCCCTCTGACTAAAGGAAAGGCACAGTTTCAGAAATCAGAACTTTGTATTCATCTTTTGCACCCAAATTACACAAAGTATTAAAGGATAGCAACTTCCCATGCTGACATTCTCTTGATTCCTCTTGACTCTTTCCATCTCAGGGGTGACACTCATAGGTGTAGCTTTGCAGAGCTGTTCTTTGTACTGAACCTACCAAACATGTCAGAAGATATTACAACAGAGATTTCCAAGGAATAAAAATATGTAAGTGTGCTAGACATCACTAAAGAGCACATTGCATTTGGATGGAAAGTTCCATTCCTTAATAATCAATCCCATTTTTCCACACAATACTTAGTACTTACCCTCTGGCAGTTCTTCTATTTCAAACATAGACAATTGTTATTTCAACAGAATACTTCACTCTCATTGTTATGAATCAAACTGCAAGGTTAAGGATTATCATTTTACCATTAATTGATTAAATTGGTCTTTGTGGACAAACAGAAAGTAGCACAACACCCAAGATACAAACATATTTAATACGGCAGAGAGAAGTGTGCAAGAAATGAAAATGAGGCACACATTGCTAATATTCTTCTGGTTTTCCTTAACTCTCCTTAGTTCAGGTGGATCAGAAATAGCTGTTGCACGCCGAATTTCTTCCTTGTATTTAATCTGCACAATAGATATTACAAAAATATTATCACTTTATAGTGGAGTGCTACAGCACATCTACAAACACCATTGGCCTGAAAAGCAATAGTTATATTTAATTTCTAAAACAGTCTGCTAGGGTCTCTAATGTTTCTTGTTTGATGCAATGCAGCAGAGAATGTTTATAACAATTCTAGTGTACTGAAACTCTTCCAGTGGGAATATACATCATATGGGATTGTTGCTATTTTCACAATAATTGGGATGCTGCATACACTACTTGGAGATGCATACCACTTTGACAATGACTTGGTTTTACTATTAACTTGCTATGGAGTCTACTAGTCCATTTCAGAAACCAAGAATTTTAGGTATTCCTAAAAGGGTGGATGGCTTCAAAGTCTCATTGAAGCTCTCTAAAAACACATGCAGACACACAAGTGAGGACGTATTTGTCTGGACTGTTGATGCCTTTGCAGGTGCTGTCTTTATTTACTGGTTTTTTTCCTAACATTTAATTTTCAACTCTCTTCTCAAGACATGGTACTTCTGGAAAATGCCCAGTTTCAGAGCACTGACAAAACAACTTGTTTTTCTCTAAGCTCATACTTGGAAGCTGCTTTGACTGAAATTTATAAATAAATAAAACCAAACCAGCCCAAAGTACAGACCAGGAATGGAAAATTTTAGTCCAGACAGTCTAGGACTGGCAAAAACACTAAAGCACTAGAGAAAAGGGTCTTTTAATAGAGACTATTAGGTAAGTTTAAGAATTGGCAGTGCTACTTGTCCTTAAAATGCTTCAAAATGTCTGTTACTTGAATTTAGTAAGACCCCAGCTTTGTGGTATTGACTGACATACCACAGGGGTGTCCTCACAGATTTCACACTAACAAAAACACAAATAGAATCTTCTTCCCAAAGTGCTGCTTCTTCTCAGTTCTATGTCCAACCCTGCCTGCCCCTCAATATAAACAAGTTTTTAAAAGGACTTTAGTTATTTGTAGCTTCTCAGTTCAGAGCCAACTTCAGTCCATGGGTGTGTGGCTTGCTTTGAAAGTTCTGTGAGATCTTGGCTTCTTCCAAACCATCATCACAACAGGTGAGATGTGCTCAGCTCCTTGGCTGCCATCACCTTGTATTTTAGGCTTTGAAAACACCATTCTGATGTTTGTCTCCTACATATGTAATCTGGAAGAATCTGATCACTTTCAGAACATGATTCAATGGGCTTTTTTGTGTGGTTGATTGTAGTGTAAGTAATATTTTGGTGCCCTGGTGTTTCTTTCACTGCAAATTTGCTCCACATTCCATATTCTAGTTTTGTTTAGCCCAGAAAATAGTTTTAAGGCTGTCCCAAATTCTTCTGGCTAAATTCAAAACTACGTGTAAAATATTTTAATCTAATGGATTCAAAATTGGTGTGATTTACCCTTCCTTTGGGACTCCTGTAAATTACACAATACAATTTCCCTCTTATGTCACAATGTAATTTCCCTCTCACTGACATGTAATTTGAATCATTCTTGTACATTGCCTTTAAATTTGGCGTGCTACACCTCTAATAAATATTATACAAGACGAAAGTAATTTCAAGTACACTACATGTAATAAAATACCTTTTGTAAAACATTAACTCTACACAAAGACTAGCAAGTTAAAGGCCATGCTTACATCATAGCACTACACCACTAATGCATTTTGTACTTCCCTTGGTACGTTTTTGTTCAAATGTGTTTACTAGCATCCTGATCAACCTTTCATTTTTCCCTCTTCACCACTATTTAGGATTTCTAAAACAGCAAGAACAATGTATATTATTTTTCCACTTCACTTTGAAATGTATTGTGAAAAAACATTAGAGTAAGACTTCTCCCTCCTGTGTGACCATTATTGAAATAGAAGTCTGTGGTAACTGGAAATTTAAAAGCAAAATAACAACCAAAAAAACCCAAACAAACAAACCAAAAAAAACCCTCACCCTCAAATCAAGAAAATAACAGCTTCCCAACCAGCAGGTTTCAACTATTCAATATTGAACTATTTCCAGATTTAGGACACATGATAGCTTGCACTGTGACTCAAAATGACAAGATGAAAAGTGATGGATTGAGCACAAAAAGATCCAAGGAAGATATGAGCTTTACAAAAAATTTTGTAAGTTGTCTACTGACCTTACTTTGGTGGGAAATTAAGTGTTTAAGACTATTCACTAAACAATGAAATTCTATGAGAACAGGTGTCTGGAGTCCCTAATTCATATTTTAACTAATATTTAAACACAACATAGTATCATGTCTACACATTATTTTCAAACTTTACTTTTAAAAAAAATATAATAATCAGAAAAGTCATGTCACAAACATAAAAACTGCCCCAGAGGAGGACCTACCAAATATAACAAAGAAGAAAACAATGCCATTACAAGGGTTTTGTTGCTTGGCAGTCACTTTTCAAGTTTTTTCAAAGTTTTGCCACATATTTATCAGAAGACAATGTTCTATTTGAAGAAAACAGTAATTTTGATATTTTATTTTGATTTGCCTACTAAAGTGCTAAAGACATTGGGCTTGTTTAGACAAGCAAGATCAATTCAGAATTCATCTCATCGGATCTACAGATCAACTTGTCACAAGCATGTAAAGAGGCACCAATTCTCCATCTTTTCACATAGGTGAAGTCTGGACATAGTTTTTCTTGTCTTGAAGTGCAAACTGCATCAAGTGCTATGCAATACATGCAGTCTCTAACAGAACATTACAGATTTTCTTTTTTATCAGTGTTTTGTTAGTGTTTTTCTAACCTGCAAATACAACTTATGTTCAGTCTGTCATATGGGGAAATGCATCTCATTTTTCTCACTCTTGAGAGACAAAACGCATTCCTCAAATGTCTTGTTAAAATATTTTCTTATTTTTCTTAATACTTCAGTTAGAATATCTACCTTTGGACACAGAAGTACTACAATGGAGGGGAGTTCTAGCTGTGCTAGAACAGAGCTCTATATCCAAAATCCAGTGGATAACTATTTGAATGAGATGTGTGATATGAAGATGAAGAATTTTTTTAGTAAACAAGATGGAAAAAAAAAAATTTTGGTCACCTTTTACTCACTTAGGAATAGTTTATGTTAATAGCACTTACCGAACTAATATTCTGTTGGTTTTTCTTTACCCTTTCAATCTCTGGAGTATCTTTTACAGCTGTGCCAGCTCCTACTTCCTTCTTATAAAACACCTTCATTTCCCCAAAAGAGAAGATAATTATGAGGCTGTTAGCAATGCAAATACTAGTACTCATAAAAGGGCTGGGCAATTTTCCAAGCTCCAAATTGGTCTGACTATTAATCTTGCTAAGAAAGCAAATACTTTAATTTTCCATAAATAAGACTAATTATCAATAACTACAACAACATTGTTTGTTTTCAGCTGTAACCCAGATAATATTATCTCATCCTTTAAACTGACCTCAGTATTATTATTTGCAATGAGATACTTAAATTTTGAAAAAAATATTAAAATTTATATAATAATCTATAAAGTTTTACAAATGTAAGTTTATGCTTGAGTAATTCATTTCAATGTAATTGAAGGTGCATGTACATGTAGGACTTGATTTGGTTTCTGTAGTCCTCAGATCTTACAATATTGTGAGAAGTGAACAGACATTACAATTATTTTTAAGTTAACAAACTAGAAAATTGAAATATTCATGGAAAAATAACCATAACAACCAGAGCTACAATCCAAGTCATTCAATTTTTGAGCCCTAGGTTCAAGCCAGAAAGCTGAACACTGTATCTAAAAACAAAACTCGCTTCTTAAAAGATACACATGTTGTTTACACAAGTCTCTACATTTCAATTGTTTCAGTAAATGATAAACATAAAGCACATCAGTAAAATCAATCATTTCGAGCTACTGAAAGAGACAGTAAATAACTGCTCCACAAATTCCGAGCATGGTTACAATTTAAATAACCTCGGAGCACCAGTTCATGCTGCAAAACTCCTAAAGGAGTTTTACCTGATTTGGTGTCACAGCTGTTGCCACTCTAGTAAGTATTTCCAGTCAGTTAGTGCAAAAAAACAAGTCTGATCCTGGAGTTAATAACATTAATCTTTACCATTTATTTCTGCCTTTCTTAAATCAAGATTCACTTAAGTTTTCCTATCAATAAACTTTGAAAAATAAAAACATCATTCTTGATTAATTCCTCCTACTCCCTTGAAGTCTTCCATAGCCTGGGGTGAATACTACTGCCAAATATTCTAAAGAAGAGTGTCTGCAACTAATTTTTCAAATATTCAGAAAACCTTTGACAATCTAGAATTTTGTTTTACCATGTGATAACAGAGGCAGTTTATGAGTAAGAACTTGAAAATCCTTCTGCACCATATCAGTTAGATAGATTTATATTGTGGACTGAACTACAATATACTTTTCTCCTCTACCAACGAAGGAGTGGTAAAATATGTTGGAGACAGGAATTTTTCTATGAAAGAGATGACTGTGAAGTAAATACCCTTTTATAAATCATCTGCCAAATGAGCTAGTGAGCTAAAAGCAGCAATGATCTTATCTGCAGAGCTAGTTGTTATTTTTTTGTCCTTTAAGGCAGAAAAATACTTGAGACAAAATCCAAAAATCAGAAGACTATTAGGGATCACTGTTTTTTTTAATCTATTTGGGCTGCTTCCAGCTGTATCTTCACTCAGTAATAATTTACCTTTATCAAACTGCACAGAAGGAGGAAAGATTAAAACACAGAGAAAGAAGAAAAAAGGTATTCCATTACTGCTGTAAACTGCTTTCCTATATTTGGAGGAGACCCAGATCACAAACAGAAACAAGAAAATCACAAAAGAAAGCAAATACAAATCATCTCAAAGACAAAGCATTTTATTCCTTATTATCTAGAACACTAACAAAAAGGATAATTGTCAGCCTTGGCACTGAAAGCTCAGACTGGCCCACAGGGCTGCAAGGGGTTCAGATGTGTCAGAGCCTTGTCAAGGCTGAATTAAGTGGTGATACCCATTTTAATTAAGCCTGGTACCTCACTTAGTGAGCCCAAGCTGCCAGAGCCACTGACCTACTTGAGAACTTCATCAAAAGCTATCAAATGCTGGAACAAGGAGGAAAGCAGGTCACAGGGGCTCGCTTGGATCCCTCTGTTCCAGGGAGTTTCAGCCTAGCCTGACAGGACACCAGTGACATGAGAAATGGTGATAACCACACAACACTGATGATGTGCAGGGCACCACTCAGAACCAGCAGCCAACACATGACTGGAAGCAAACCTGGGCCAGTGGGCCTGTCAAGAGCTCCTGCTGGGGAGATTTAGCTTTCAGCTGTCCTCATTGAAAGGAAGAAAAGGGCAGGTGGTGGCTGGAGATGTCACAGGAGTGACCACAGCCTGGAGCAGGCTCAGAGGTGTCTCCCCTGCTCTCCCCACAGAAGCCTCAGCTGTACAGGGGAGCTGCAGGCAAACACCTCTGGGAGAAACTCCCTGAGTTTACTCAGTTACTTCTGAGAGCTGGAGGAGCTCAGGATATTCTAAGTTAAAGAACATGTGTGCTAGATAATATTAAAAATATTTAAGTATTTTATATTCTTTTCTCTCAAATCATTTGCTTTATTAGCATTACTTAGTTTGCCATAAAAACCAGCCACTGACTGGCCTTTTGTTCTGGAGGCTAGATTTACTCCTCTTCTCTGTTCTATTACAAGCAAAGGCAGAATTACAAACAGCAGCATTAATGGGCCCAAAAAGGAAGTGGAATTTAATACATCCCAAACTGGGCAATTTTAGAAATCTAAGCTCATAATTTATATTTAGGGATAAACTGAAACTTAAATCTAGCATAAAATTTAAAAATATACCCAGTGTAATATAAAATAATTACATATATATGTTTATGAAATCTGATCTGCTCAAATTTTATACTCCAGTCTTGATGCTCAGTACATATGATAGGAAACAGATGAAAAATCTTATATGTACAGTAAGAAGCCTTCGATTTTTTTCCCACTTTTAAATAAAGTACTTCCTGGGGCTTGATGGAGAAAGAAAAAAATCTTCATTTAAAAATAACTGTGGCTTGGCAAGGTGGTATAAGTGGTTTAGAAATTCAAAACAACAGTGTCGCACCTAAGAAAGCTGGGTATTATTTTTACTGAAAGAAATTAGTGATACAGTTTTTGCCAGGAAAATTATGGAAACGGTTCAAAGGACTTCTACTCATAAGTTCCCTATTTTACGCTGTGGCACAAGAGAACCTATTTAAACTGAAAAATATCTGAAAAGTTACAAGCAAAGCGAGAAGCTCTGTTACTCACCGAACTGATGTTTTTCTGAGTGCTTCTTATCCTCTCCATCTCAGGAGTGTCTGGGACAGCAGAATAGTTACAGAGCATCTTCTCTGCTTCATCTTTGTACATTTTCTGAAAAATTAATTTTTACATGTCTATGCTTTTTGGGCTCAGGATATCCAAACTGCACAAAAGATGCTTATTGCTGATGAGGCTCCTGATCCTAGTCCAGTATTTACTTAAACCTCTCTTCTCCATGATACTGTCACCATTGTCTGCCCCATACTAAAATATATATATAATATACTTATATATAATATATCCTCATATACAACGTATCTTCATACACAATGTATCCTCATATATATTTTCTCCTTTCTGTCAGGATGCATATAATGTAACATTAGGTAATTAGGTAATGTGAAAAGAACTCCAAGTTGATGTAAATAACTAAATTCAATTTACATGGTGTAACAGGCCTAAATACAAATAAGAATCAGGCAGTTAAGACATTTTACTATTTATTTATTTAGTATGGCTGTGAAAGCCTCTACAGAGCTAGAGAAGAAGTATTTTGAGCATTGTATATCAAGCAGTCATCGTTACACAGAATTAAAACATTCAGCTTTTGACTATGTCTACCTGGCTTGCTATTTCTGAAGCCCTTTCGGCCCACTGTATTTTTGGAATATATGGACCAATTTGCATCCCTTTTCCTATCATTTCAGTCCCCAAATCCTTTTTATATTCTTTCTGAAGAAAAAATAAAGCTTAAAAAAAAACCATAACCAATACCACAACTCTCTGTCCATCCTGTCTTCAAAGCTATTCTCACAGTACTGGTCACACTATAAATATAAATTATTCCATTTCTTCAATTTAATATTCTTATTGTGCACTTTGTTTAGCTTAGAACGTTCAAGGGGATTTTATGTTTTTAACATCTCGTTGTGTTTTACTTTCAACGTAATCTTAAAGCAAATAGTTCTGTACTCACCTGGCTGACAATTTCAGAAGCTTTTTTGGCTCGTTGCATATCAAGGGTATCCATACTCACTTCCATTCCTTTTCCTTTAATTTCATTCTCTAAGTCTTTCTTGTATTCTTTCTGAAAAGAATAGCATTGGAAATACTCACAGCTGACAGTCAAATTTTGCAATTTTTCCTTATTTAATTTGCGCTATTTCACTGACCAGCATTCATAAACCACCAAATAACTAATGATTCAATAGTACTAGTTTTGTAGAACCTATCTATGCAATGGCAACACTGTGCTTGCTGATGGGTTAAAAAACTTTTTTAACACACTGCTCACTTCAAATCCAATGTAGCCTTTCACATCTACCTGTCTGCAGTTTTGGCAGCCACAGTCAGAACAGATGTGAGAATTTCTTCCTCTGCTGTGCTTTACAAGACTGAGGTCAGAATGCTTTAGCTTCTCTCTAACTCTGTGGATCATTTGGCCCTGCATAAATAAGTGGCTGTTTCGACCCAAAACCAGCAGGGCCCACAGAGATCAAACACAGCCCAGGCCAGGCATGGCTCAGGAGGAACAAGCACAGCCTGCAAAAACTGATAGGAAGGTCTAAGTTCTGGGAAGTCTTAACTTTTCCCCCCTTACACTGATTATGCAACTGTTCAACTTTTTACAGCTCAATGGATGAGCTATTCAGAGAAATCTGTGTTTTCAGTACTGCCAGATTGGTCATCACCTGGAATTCTCAATCACAATAATTTGTTGCATTCTGCAAAATGGAAAGCTTGCCCCAGGAGAGGTACTGACCATGCTTGCAATTTCAGAAGCTTTCTTGGCCCGTCTTATCTCAGGTGTATCTGGACCAACTTCCATGCCTTTCCCTTTAATTTCAGTTTCCAAGTCTTTCTTGTATTGCCTCTGTGAAGATAGAATTTTTACATGATATTCACAAAATCCAGAGAGCTACGAGTAGATTTTTTTTTCCCACAAGACATGCAAATTTAGGATTTAGAGTCAATCAAAACTTTCAAGAGTCACAGTTCTCAAGAGTCTTGGTAAGGTGTTGTCAGAAAAAAACACATAATAAACTACAGGAGGAAAACTTTTAGAAGATATTCAACGAATGCACAAACCCCTATCAATGAATTTTTAAGGTGGCAGAGGGTGGGAGGAAATCAGCCCATGCAGCTTGCTGCAGTTATCCTCTAAAGTAAAGGGGAAGTTTAGCTCTGCAGAACACGGTGTAATAAGTTGGTCCTTGGCACCAGTCTAATTGAAACACATTTTACTTTTAAGAAAATATTTTATTTATGACAAGACTACATGTTAGAAATTTAATACCATACAGAATTGCTTCCAGTGAACTTCCAGATCAGGAAGTTGTAATTTATTCATTTAATAGGTCCTTCCTGAACCACAGCCATTAGGCAAGTGGCAGTCCTCATCCGTGATTGCTGCTTTCTCCTCACAACATAAATTATAAATAACCAATACCTGAAAACAAAATTAATATTTCATCTTCAGTTTATCCAAGCAAGGATATGTTTCTTGTTCATCAGCAAATTATATTAAAAAGTAATATGAAATATTTTACACAATAATTGTAAGGCTTTAAAAAAAAATGTTAAAAATTATTTTTTTATAAAAAATACTCTCAGCCAGTGCTATTTCTACTACTATAGTAATAATCATCCTTTTTTCTATTCTAGTTCATCCTTACTTGTGGAAAACTTCTTTTTCAAAGTAAATATATGTAATACAAATAATTTTTAAATGCCCCTTTCTTTTCTTGTTTGTTAATAACTTTTAGGTTGTACATTAGTTACAAAAAGGAGGACTATATGCCTGTACTCAATACAGTGGTTTGATCACTTATAAAAAAGTGAGCAAAAAGATTTTCAGTCTTCCATCTCTGTCTCACTCTGATGTGAAATAAATGTATGAAACAACTCTCTACTTCACAAACCACATTTTTTTGCAAGAATTGTAAATTAACCTGTAGGAATCCATCAACCCACAATTCCTCTCTGCTAAAGATGGGATGACAGATGTTTCCTCTAAACTTCGTATTGCATAAAACACCAAGGAAAAGATAATCCCAGGAGTTACAGCTATATATTCCCACATTTGTTTACAGTGGTCAAATTGGCCCTATTCATGGCATTCCCTCTGTTTTTTTTATGGATATGTGTGTATATATATAAATATATAATATTAATCTATGTCATATTAATTTTGTATTCATTTATTTATTATAGATATGTTTATTCACACATACACACACACATATACATATATATATATATATACAAATTTCTGAAGTGGCTCCCCAAAAGCATAACATGCAGTATGAGCTTTGCCTTCCCTCTTCCCTCCCTACACGCTCCAGCCCCACTGCTGCTTCCAAGATTCAGCCTTGGATGTCTGGAAGATCACCCCAACTCGTGCTGGGAAAGCCTCAGCAGAGCACAGCACTAAATGCTGGATCTACTGACCCCACTAACAATCTCCAATTACCTTTCACTTGCCTGAAAATCTGAATTATCTGTCCTGTGTCGTTTTTTATCCAGAGCTTTACTATATTTTTCAAGCAAAACAGAAATAGCCTTAGTTTCAATACTTACATAATTCATTGTAGATTATGTAAAAAAAAAAAAAAAAAAAAGAATCTTCGGAGTTTAATACAAAGTGAACCCTTCTGTGGTATTAATAACCTTGACTAGGATAACATACCTCATTTAGTATCTGAGCTGCATTTTTCACTCTAATCAAATCTGGTGTATCTTCAAACACTGTCATTCCTTTTCCTTTCATCCCTTCCTCCAAATCTTTTCGATACTCTTTCTAAGGATTAAAAAAAAAAAAAAGAGAGAGAGAGATTTCACCACTTCATATTTTGTGCAAGATCTTGAAAAGAAATGCCACTTATTAAACATCTGAAGAGTCTCTTTGAAATTTCTATGAAATATGAATTAGCTGAAGTACAGATTTCAGACTTAAAATAGAATTGGAAATTGTGAAATCAAAAGGAAAAAAGCTGAAAAAGTAAAAAGATTTTAATGTCGTCATCTTTTTTTTTTTTGTGCTCTTGAAAACCAGCCGTGTCCTATACAGCACTAGCACACTGTTCAGGGGCCTTGTCTGTCTCTGGACAGATATTTTAACTGCAGTAGCATTTTCTTTCTGCAGACCAGTATGTGCTGTGCTGCAGTTTTCACCTCCATTCCATTAGTGGCATCCCAATCAGGATGGATTCCCTAAACACCACACTAGGAGCTGTTAAAACAACCTCTTGATAAATTAAAATGTAGAAGCAATATTCCTACCACATCACTCCTGTGCCTCCTAGACACTGCACTGCTATGACCTATCAACATTCAGCAACTGCAGCCTCCAGAGTACTCAAAGGTTCAGTAAAAAATTCAAAGCACACTAGAACCTGCCCACAGACATTTGGTTCTTTTTGCTCTTCCCAGCTCCTAGAGAGCAGATGTAAGCCTAAGTTCAAGATCTTTAAGTTTTGTAAGTTTTAATTACTCTTCACATCTCCAGATGAGGATTAGGCTTTATTAAGCAAATTAATTAGAATAACATTGCACAAAATATTTATCAGAAGATTTACATAGATATAAATTAATACTCCTAATTATATATTACATTTCATAAGCAGCAGTGAGCACCTTTATCTCCCTATAAGATCTTTATTTGAATAAAAGGAAACCAGATATTTTTAAAGATGCTTTTCTTGATCAACAGAAGCATGTCCTCAACAAGCAGGAAACAATTTCTTCTAATTTAGAAATATTTTACTCAGAACTATTTAATTCAGCTATCTCTTCTGAAGGAGTTGTAAATATGGTTCCAGAGAAGAAAGTTTGTATTGCTATAAAATGTGAAATATGTGCAGAATTCTCTACAGTGGAAAGTCAACAGAATAAGCTGGAACACAGCTGACATTTGGGTAAAAATAAATGTGATTGAACAATTCATTCATTTTTAACTCCAGGTTTTTCTTCTTGTTTCATGCAATATCTATTCAAAGTTTATTATGAACCTTTATAAGAAAACACTGAGCTACATCCTTGACTATGAAGAAATACATATTTTTTCTGAATCATGAAAGATAATAATTAATTTTACCTAGGTAATCTTTGGGTTTGGAGTATGTTCCTTGAATGTGAATATAAAATTGTCAGAAATTCATGCAGTTATGCATTAATGGAAATACCATTCTCATTTTCTTCCCCCTTGACTTATAGACATGATTTACTCCCTAAATAAGGAGGCATAAAACTTGAAGAGGTCAGAATTAGAGAATATCTTAATGCATATAGCACTAAGGAGGGGAGCTTCATCAAAATTTCAGAGATGAACATGTAGAGCACATGACATAACTAAACTATGCATACAGTACCCACTTCTCTGGGCATTTGGTGAGCTGCAAGATTACCTGAATGAAATGACAGCATGATTTGCATTTTTCCCCAGTGAGAAGGCATATATGAGATGTACCACAGAATGCCACTGTACAAAATAGACCTAGCTTGAGACCTGCCTACCTGAAAGTCAGGCTTATCAGAATAAATTATTTATAAGTGGATGAATAATAAATAAATATCTTAAAAGAAATTTTTTTCTTTAATCATATGAAATCTGGCATAGACTGGAATAAATTGTATAAAGAACAAGGAAAGGAACAAAGCTCAAGGGGTTTTAATTCTACCGTGCTTTATTTGTTTTGGCAAAAAAACCCAAAATCTATTCTTCATACCATAAATACAAACAAGGTATTGTTGGCTCCCAGGTTCAAAGCCAGGACACTGAGCAGCTCTGCTCTTCTCATCTAGCTGTTCTAGCTCTTCTAAATTTGGTCAAATAGTGACCATAATCCACAGAGCCAAACAGTAGGCAAAACCTAACACGAAACCAGTTTTAAATAATAATAGAAAACTACTAAAGGTAGAAGAATTCTCAGTTATGAAAAAAAATTTCATTTTTAGTGACACATACAACTGAAGAACATTTCACAAATCTTAAGGAAAGAGTAGGCATACAGAAAACCTGTACCTTCTAACAAAATGGACTTAAAACAGTTATGTAATATCACAGCTCTATTACAGAATTTTGGTCTTATTTTTTATCTATAACATGTATGATAGATAATTATTTTAATTACGTTAGTTATAAGGGACTCTGTGCAGTTCAAGCCATCTGTATAACCACAACAGGCTACCATAAAGGTGAAATAATTACTCAAAGGTGAAAACTGCCATCTGGACACCAATGTAAATCCTTCCTTCCACCCCTTTATCTATCTGAAAAGAGAAGTGATAGTCTCGTTCAGGTGTGCTGAGCTTTATAATTTCCTTACTACATGACTATTCAGAATATAAAATGATGTGAAGCAATTTTTTCTCGTGAAGATACTTGTATGTAGCTGCCAAGAAAATCTGAAATTATTCAGCACTCCTTGTAGTGATGCTGCTTATTGCTCATTTACGACTTAACAAAAGAAAAAAGTAAATAAAAATCATTTACCTCTTTCAGAAGATTAGTGATTTCTTTTATATGCAAGAACTCTGGGGTCTTGTCTAAATCCAGTGAAGGTCTTCCCTTGATCCCTTCTTCAAAATCTCTTCGGTACATTTTCTATTGTAGCAAAAACAACAATTAATGGTACATACATATGCAATTCCAAGCATATTTTTGAAGAGACCCAGAAAAAAGCCCTGCCATTAACTGGATTTCACACTAATAAGCAACTTCATTATCCATTCCATGATCTAGTTTATTTATACAAACAGATACAATCTAGACAAAAATATATGTACAGTATGTCCAAAGAGAATGTTGAACCTGATCTATGAAAGAAACAGTTTGCTTGGTAGAGAACAGAGAAGACAAATGGCACACAAGATAATGATTTAAAACTCATTAAAGTTTCTACGAAGAGGTTGAGATCATCTGTTTTCCATGACACAGCAAAACTAATGGAATCAAACTGCAGCATGGGGACACAGGTGCATCCATCTCACTCAGGATGGATGGAAAAGCACTGGACTAGATTGTCTGGGAAGTCACAAAATCTCCATCATTTGAAGTTTTTGTTTAAAAAAAGTCAGAAAAACATGGCCTGATATAGGACAGCCAGTGCTGTTCTGGAGCCTAGGATCAGTCCTTCCTTGATGAGTTTCCCAGGCTGGAAAGGCAGGAGGATGTTTCAGTTAAATCATAGGGTTGGACTGGGTTTTGTGGCTTCACTTGCTCCCACATGAGAACCATCCCTCCCTAAAGATAGATTTCAAGTGAAAATTTTAAAAGTTATTAATCTCCGACCTGGATGACCTCTTGAGCTTCTTCTCAATTAAATGATGTGTGTGTACTGTCAATACCAATGGCCTTTTGAGAAAAAAGCAAATTCACAAGAAGAATTGAGCTACAGAATAGCAGAGGTAATTACTCAGTATAATTCTACCATATCCACAATTTACTCTCTGCTTCGTGCATTTTCTTAACCTGAGTACAAGATGTCTGTCAACCTCTCTGTTGATCAAAATTTCACTTGTTCAAAAAGTAAATTTTTACTTACCTCACTTTGCATCTTTTGAGCCTCCTTTGAAACTTGATACATTGGTGTATCCACAAACTCCAGCATTGATCTGCCTTTAGATTTTTCATAATTTTCTTTGTACTTGACCTAGGAAGATTAAAATAAAATCTGTTAACAGTTGAGAGAATATGAGATCTTGCTTGCCTTGGCAAGAAACAAATCCTGTCTTAGTCATACTCCTCAGATATTTTGGCTTAGAAGACTTCTCCCAAACTTAATCTGTTGGGGAAATAGGGTAATTAGATAAGGTTATATTTTTTGGAGTCATTTATTCCTTTTCTACACAATTCAGACCTAGAAATTGTGAACTTTGAAGACAACAGGAATAAGGAGCATCAATCACAATCCTTAAACAAATTGCATGGGTTTGGCCAAATGATCTATGTCTAGAGAGTTGGAAGCTTTTTAATAGGATCCCCTGCTATGTTTCCATAAACAACACATTTACTGTAACAACAACAAAATCTGTTTCCCAGCCAGGCCTCACAGGTCTTTGTTTCAGGCTCAGAAGCACCACTCTCAAATGCACTTTTGTTTGTACCTGTGGGAGAGAGAAGGGAAAGAAAACTACTGCTCCAGTAGGGTCCACTCCTGCAGCAACATTCCCCTCACATCTACCAGGGACCATGACCTCAGAGCTGGCAGCAAAATCACACTGAAGGACACAGGTTAAAACATCAACTTATTCCTTTATGCTAGCTCACAAAGGAAATACACTTTGTTTGGAAACCTGAAGAAGCCTTTTGAACTCATTCATTCACACTCCTTTGATTAAGACTGGCAAACACATTACTTATCTCCATCAGTCAGTGTGGGGCATGATGGAATAGTCTTAAAGGAAAGCAAATAGCTACAAATCAAAATATTACATCTAAAGTGAGTAATGTAATTTTAATTTCTAGGGCTCTTCAAAAATGACAGTGATGTCTGAATTTCTCTTTGCCTGTCAGGCTTCTGCATTAGGCTTAGGTCCTGCAAAAACACTCTCCTCTCTCCTCATGGGGTGCTTCTGATTGAATATGCACTGTACATCACTGAAATCATGTGGTTTTCATGTGGTTTTGTGCATGATTTAATCACTCTTAGAATGCTGCATTTTTCTCTTTGCAAGATGTGTTTGATTGTGGTTGTGTATACCTGACTTTGAAGCACTGCATTTTCTTTGAGATGGATTTTTTCTGCAGCATCTGGGCTGAAGTGACACAAACACTTGCTTTGCTTAAATGAGTTCTTATATTCACAGTGAAACAAAAAAAAATCCAAGATTGTTTTCACAGACAAAATCCATAAATTTTTGTAATTTAAATACTATTTAAAATAACTATGAAAGAAAAAACATAGAAGTAAGAAAGTATATTTTAGTCGTACGAAGTGTGGAGTTCTGTCAAATTTAAAATGTTGTGATGATATTTTAAAAAAAATAATATGACAAAAAATAGCTTTTGTACATGCATAGAGAAAATGGTTGTCCTGCTAATCTAAAAGTCAGATGTTTCTATGTTCCATAGAAAATAAACATTATTATTTGCACTTGAAGAGCAAAGGAACACATATGATGGTCTGGGTTTGCCTCCTAGTGGAAAGAATTATAAATGTCACACAACAAAATCACTTTAGTAGTGGAAACAAATTAAAATTACGCCCATCTACAGATACAGATCTCATACTTTTACTCCATTCCTCAGCTAATGGAAGAAAATTTTTTTTAATTCTGTAAAATCAAATTAGCTAAATTCGCAACTTTTTGCTACATTAAGCTAAACTACTAGAACCAGATTCAGTCTCCTAAATTCTATTTATTCACCCTGTACATTAAAATGAAATACATCTAAGTTCCCTACTTTTTAGCCTGTATTTCATTAGTATCTCAAAGTCTCCACAATAGGAACAGATTTAAAATGTGAAAAACATTAAATTAGCTGTTCTACATGTATCAAAGTGTCAAATTTTGTGTCTCCATAGTTCATACCAGAATTACATATATATCTATCATAGCTTAACCACAGACAGCAACTAAGCCCCACACAACTGCTCACACACTTCACCCCAGTGGGATGGGGTAGAGAATTAGACAGGTAAAAGTGAGAAAATTTGCGGTTTGAGATAAGAACAGTTAAATAATTTAAATAAAATAAGCCATAATAATAATAATAATAATGAACAATAATAAAAGGAAAATAACAAAAAGAGAGAGAAATAAAGCTCAAGAAAAAAAAACAAGAGATGAAAACGAAAAAAAGTCACTCACCACCGACCTATCAATGTTCAGCCTGTCCCTGGCCAACTTTCCCCCAGTTTATATAGTAAGAATGACACTGTATGGTGTGGAGTGTCCCTTTGGCCAGTTTGGGTCAGCTGCCCTGGCTGTGTCCTCTCTCAGCTTCTCATGCACCACCAGCCACCTCAAAGGCAGGGCACCATGAGAAGCTGAAAAGTTCTTGACTTAGAGTAAGCACTACTCAGCAACAACTAAACCATCAGTGTGTTATCAACATTGTTTCCATCCTAAATCCAAAACCCAGCACTGTACCAGCTACCATGAAAAAATTACCTCCATCCCAAGTGAAACCAGGAAATACTGTCTAAAAGGAGAATTCCACCTTGCAATTTTCTTCCTCATCAAAATAATAAAACCAAGATGAGTTTGACTTGTCAAAATCAGTTTATTTATGTCCAAAGATGCCCATGAAACTCTTAACTGCTGGAATTTATTCCCATGGAAGTTGACTTATATAACAGCCTTGCATTGATATTACAGTATAAGTGCTTCATAAAGTTGCACACACTAGTTAACACTCTAGGTCAATAAGCAAAACTCATTCATTCAATCAACAATATTAGTTTATGAGTTTAATTAACCATAGAGGTTTCAATCTGTCACACTGGAGCAGGTGTAGCTATGTTACATAGAAGATAATGAGAAACATAAAGTTCAAGGGAGAAAGGTATACTGCAGGGAAACAGTGAAATTGGGCAATTAAAAAAAAAAAACACACAAAAAAAATCCCAAAAGAAAACCCACCCAAAAAAACAAAAAAACAAAACAAAAAAAAAAAAAAACACCAAAAACAACAACAACGACAAAAATTACTGTAAGACATAGGACCAGTCTTTGGAAAACAGTTAACACAGGGAAGTCAGGAAGACTGTTTTTTACAATGGTGGCAGATTACAAAACAGACTTGGTATGAGTTGTGGAGAGACAAGGAGAACACACGGAATGTAAGGAAAAGGAGGGAGAAAGGCAGAAGAGTAAACCGTGTTTAAATAAAAGTGATGACATGAAGAGGTCAAATCTGAGAAGGACTGTGAAAATGAGATTTCTTTAAGAGACAAATATTTAGTGGGGAGCTTAGGGATGGGTAAAGCATTTCTCTTCTTGCACCAAATAAAAATACCCATCAGGATCTGGACAACACAAAAATCATAGGCTTAGTATTTACAGAGTACTCATGTGAGCACATGTACATTATGAATCAACCCCTCCAGGACAAAAGAAAGAAATATATTTTGCAAGACATGATCTGCCATAAGAGAAAGTCAAGGTTTCTGCATCCTTAGAGCTAAGATGATAAACTGATGAAGGCCATTCTGAGGGTCTTCATTTAATCAGCAAAAAGACTGCCAATCTTACCATACACTAGAAGGAAACTAGATTTGGGCCAAAATGTGCATGAAGAATGCAGGAAGGAAAAGAACCCAGCTCATTTATTACTCATACCAAAGGGGATAATCAGTATTAGCTTCACAGAGGGAGTGAGACAGAAAAAAAACAAGCTCCAATTCTCAAAAAAAAAAAAAACACACAAAAATCAAGTATAGATGGATTATTTTGATTATTTTAGACAGAAGCAGGCACTGACTCAAAAGATGACCCAGTATGCTCCTACTTACTAGAGTTAATTGTCTATGAAACACTCAGCTCCTGTCAACCACAGACTAACCTTCCTTCCCAACACCACTCCCTTGTGCCTCTCCACAGTAGCTCTGCAGGCCTGCTGTGTTTTCTGGAGTAAAGATGACAAGTGCAGCTAAGCAGCCTACAGCCACCACACCTGCAGCACAGGTGCCCTTGCAGTGGGAAAGAACCTTTATCATGGCACAGGAGCCAGGGGTTTCCTAGCTCTTCCTTCCTATTTCAATCCCCACCATGATCATGTATCAGACCACCAGTCCCACCAAGGGGCACATCTTGCTACATGGCAGAATGGAGTATGTGCCTATTATCTGGCCCAGAGTAGGACGACTCAGCTAGGAGGGGAAAAAAGTTTAGCTAGAGAAGCCCAAGAGTAAGCTAACACTCCAGAGTCTGTTCATTTCAAAAGTTCAAATATTAAACTAGCATAAAGGTCACTTCTGTGCAGAGACTTGCAGATGAAAGCAAGATCTTGGACAAAAAGAGATTTGCAAGGAAAAAAGTATTTTAGGTCTTAAAAAAAGAAAAAAACAGACAATGTTTCAGATACATGAAAAGATGCACTCAGCATCAGAAGTCTGTGTGATTCTTCCACAGTATATATTATCTGTTCTGATAACTGAAATATGTCTTCATAAAAACCTGTTTTTCTTCACTACACCCATCATCTACTACAGTTACAACACTATTGCCCACTACATCTGAGAGCAATAATGTGTTTCCTACCATGACTATATACAGTACATTCCTTACTAGATTTTTTTTTCAGCTTGTTCTTAAAAGGTAACTTACATCACTCTGTGTTTTGCTGATATTTAAAGCATGGTTTAAATGCAGCAGGTTTGGTAGATCAGATGCTGGATCATGCAGGCTTTCCAAATCTTTCTTGTAGTTCACCTGGAAAGAGAATTATGCAAACTGAAGATGAATAAAATAATTCACAGCTCTATACTACATTGTGAACATTCAGAAAGGGAAGACATTAAGTGCTTGCCTGAACAATCTCTCCCAGCCACTAGATGGTGGTCATCTACTATTAATTCAAAGAAAAGGAAAGAACAACATAGGACTCATTCTGCTGAGTAAGTACTTAGGAACTACTCCAACTTTTCCTCCAAAAAAAAGGACACTTACAACAAAATCACATTTTGCATGACTTTTCAGGCAAGAATTAATTTTCTTCTTTTTTCCTCTCCGCTCCCTTAAAATTTAAATTTTTAAATCCCTCCTCATTTAAATCAAGAGTATCTTCCTCAGTACTTCGGGTCTTCATTTTTAACACCTTTAATTCTTTTTTTCCCTGCTTCAGGAATTACACTGTCCAGTTTAAAAGTTTTATATACAGCAGTTAAAGGGAAGTACTCCTGGATATTTTATCCAATACAGATTGCTTGCAGCAAATATAAGCATATGGTGACCTAGGGCAAAAGAGAATCACTTAATGAAAGAGCAGAAAGTAACTTCCCAACAGCCTGCAGTAGGATTTTCCATTCTTCTGAGACCTGTATGCCCAACTTTACAGGAAGAAAACTAGCTACCTTACCTATCTTGGATAAGACATCTTTTAAACTAATACCTTTAGTCATCTCCACATATGTATCATGTTCTTCACTTCAATTTGCCCATTTCTTATAATAATAACTTTCAATTGATTTTTTATTACACATTCAGATTTTGGAAATAATTACATAATCTTCTGTACCCTTCCCAGAGCCTGTCTTTCCTGTTCCTATTGCATGGTACCTCACACTTCAGAAATGTTGGACTACAGAATGAAGTCTTTTGGCTATCTGGGATCACAGCCTCAAGGGAGAGATCACATTTTTAGCATTAGACACACTTTCAAAGATATCATCCCAAGATGATCCCAATCATCACTTGATATAGGTATTTTCTCCAGTCTGGCTCCAGCAGCAGACACCCACTGCTGAACCTAGTGACTGCTGTATTTTGTAATACCATTGAGAAGATCAACGAGAAGAATGAAGTCGAGAAGACAGACATCCAAATGTGAACTGCTCATGTAACCTCCTTCTATCACCACTGGAGAGATGACAGGCACCTCTAACAGCTGAGAAGAATTTACCTCTAGACCCATATATTTCTTTCCTGAATTAAAAGGGACCAAGTACAAGGCAATTAGCTCAGTGCAAGAGGTCATACCTTTTGACACACAAAATTAAGCAAGTCGAATCTCATCTAAAATGGATATGAAAATCTCTTCAGGCCCATTGTCAAAAGCAGGGGAAGAAATGAATAGCATGCTGTACCTGCTACACACTGTAGGGCAGACTGTAGCTCAGAGGAATTCAAAAGATGAAGAAAGAAATTCTACTTGTGAACAAATGTTAGGTTATTCAGGGTGTACATGCATGTAAAAAACAAAGCCAAATAACTTACATCACTTGCCAAGGTGGATGCAATCTGTGCTTGCTTGAAGGAAGCACTGTCAAGAGGATTGTATTGGTGACTCTTCATTTCCTTACTGAACTTCTCTTTGTATTTTACCTTTCACCAGAACAAACATATCTAATATTAACATGCAGCACTTTAAAAAGGCAGAAAATTCAGACTACAAAGAAGCTTATTAAATGCAATTGCTTTCTTCATAAATCTTTAAACAAAGTTTAAAGAAGCTCAGTTTACCCACACCTGTGACAGTCTTGTGTTGGTTTCAAATAAGTTTTATGTATCAGAATTTTACTAAAATTTTAAGATTGTCATATATGATTACTGGTGCTAAAGGATTTATAAAAAGAAAGCAGAAACAAAATCATATGACTCACATGAGCAATCAAAATAGAACTGTTTGACTAGTAATAATAATCTACTCACTGAGAATAATTCGATTCATAATTAACATCAAAATTGTAGTTTTAACAATAAAAAAGCTAAGGTGAATAAATCACAACATTTGCAAAACAAATCACTTGTAAATTTTTCAACCACTTGAAAGTAGGAAGTCACAATCAAACTTCCCACCACCAGGTCCACATGTCACTCACACTATGCTAGACTGCCACCAGAACTGCCAGGTCTATTTTTAATTCTGCCAGAAATTTCCCATGGGACACTGAGGAATCTCTCTGTAGTACAGTCCTTTCTTGGGGATAATGCCCACCTCATTACAGTGCTAGAAAGCATAATTAAATGACTGCCTGCCATCATTTTCACCATCTTTTCTTCTCATTCAAAAGAAAAAGGGGGAATGATAATACATGTAAGAGGAAATAAGCAATACATAAATATGGAGACAATGACATTAAAAGTAAATAAATCACAAAAATTTAATAAAATATGCCAAAAAACTAAATTCAGAATCTGAAAATATAAAAGTGAACAAATAGTATATCTCCCTCCTTTGCTCCCTTTGTGAGTGATCATCAAACATCTGGAGACTGCACACATGTCTGGTTCTTTCCAACAGCTGGGCATAATGGAGGAGAATAAAGTTCAGTCTGAATTATGCTGCTTTCATGAATGTTAGGCAGACACCTGATATCTGAGCCTATGCAACATCCATTATAATTTACCACGCTCTGCACTAAATAAATACATGGATTTATCCCTGCTCCTTTTTTCTCTATTCCCATGTGAACGCTTGATAAAGTGGTTAAGCCACCTCAAACAATCTTCAATATTTTTTTTCTCAGACTTAGTTGTGGGAAGAGGGTTTTTTTTTTCCTTTTCAGTTCTTCCTTGCCTCAACAGACCCTCAACATGATTTAGCTCACACAACCTCATTATCTTTAGCCACAATGCCCACTATTTCATTAATCAGGATAACAAGAAACCAAAACTAAGCCACACAAGAAGGAACTAGCCATATATGTTCAAGCACTACATTAATATTCCAGCACTTAGGTAATTTTTTCTAAGTGAGAACTCTAAAACATTGTTATTTTTAAAGAGAAATTTTATCTGAACACATGATGAACTTCATAATCTTTCACACTAACAGTAGAAGAGGGTATCTACTGCCTTCTGGTAGAGTCATCTGGTTTATATTGTTTGATATTTGCCTTGGCATTGGATCAAATGCAAAAGCATATATCTGAATACAAAGACAAAGGCAAATCCATGCTCTGTACAAGCAGTGAAGGAATAAACCAGAGAGCTTTTCTCTCTTTAAAGGTGTATCCAAAACTTACCTTCTAATGAAAATCAGGCAGTGCTGCAATATGTCATTCAAAAAACCAGAGATCAGGCCAGCAGAGTGAGCAAAACTGTCTTTTACTCCTTTACCCATATCACAACAACATTAATTTTAATATCCAGCTACTGCAGGCTGCCTTCTCCTGGCCAACAAATGGCCACAAACAATACACACAGACCCAATGCACAATAGGGTACTTGAAATTCTTGTTACATGGGAAAGTGTTGGTGCCAAAGGGACCTCTGCTCACAACTGGCTTGCCATCTTCCAGCTGCAGCCATTTCATACCATCATTTTAAAATTTTTTTAGCAATAAATTTCAACCTAGAGGTTCCAGTAATAGATCCTGTTTAGTGTCACTTCAGAGCACATTGTTGCCACTGAAGGACAGAGCGGGGACCAGTGAACCCAGTCTTTTCGGGGCCCCATGCCCTGATGTCAATGTGCAAGAGGGTCTCTAAAAATTAAAGGAGCCTCCCAACCAAGATGACTCTAAATGTTCTGGTTGCAGTAGGGCTGTCTGGGCTCCAGGCCCTGCTGCCTCCCCTGGCTGCTCAGCTCTTTGCCTTTGCTCCCCTCCCCATCACAGGAGTGGCTCTGTGGCAAAGCAGAGCACACGCAGTAATATCAGACAACGCTGGCAGTGTCTCCAGAGCACTTCCAGCAGTCATTTAACTGACCTGTCACAGGGGATTTGTTGCATTGAAAGCTACATAGATGAATACTTTCTCTTTTATCAACATTTTTCTGGTTCTTTCTCCCTTTTGAAAGGAAGCGTGGGGTAGGAGAGAGCGAAGAAAGAAGAGCAAGCCCATGGATGAGTCATAGTGAAGGGAAGCACACAGAATTCATCGTCCTTTTCAACAGGGTGAATGCAGTTAAAAGAGAGGAAATATGCCTGAGAGAAAGATTTCTGAATAAAAACAAGGAAGAAAAATATTTCATATGATTTTTAAACCATCTGAAAGGGGGAGGTCTTAGCAAGGCTATAATACGGTGAAAGAGCAAACAAGTGGGAGTAGAATTGACAGTTGTTAGTGGATGCTTATCTACAAATTTCATCATTAACCAAGAGCTTTACTTTAATGAGGGCTTAAAAGGATGGTTACTTATTTAACATCTTCATTAAAGTATTAAGTTTGTTTATTTTTTTAGAGATTATATAGTGGGGGTTAATTTAAAAGAAATGCGTGGAGGTTGCTCTCTTAAAGACTGCTTAAGAAAGAGCAGATTCAGCAGGCTTTTAACACAACAACATCCCTGAAAAACCAAACTGGAATTAAATAAGGCCTGGATAAACAAACTTCTCATTGGCCTTGCACAAAACCTATAAAAGTCAGAATTGCAGCTGGACAGAGCAGTGTCTTTTGAAGCTTAGCAGCAACATTCCTAAATCAAATCTGTAGTTCAAAGCTGTTCACACAGGGAGTGTTCAGTTTCAGAAGTGGATGACATCACCCACTGTTCAGATTTACAAAGAAACTAAAAAAATTGAATCATTCAACCACTGGGATCCCATGATGAAGCAGACACTTGCAGCTAAAGCATTTCCTCATGACCATATGAAAACATCTTAAAAAAGGAAAAAACCTGTCAGAGCACATATATATTGAAGGCAATGTAGCATAAACAAAGAGCAAAATTGAAACATTCATGGCTAAAAGCACTAGAAGAGTTTAAAGCAAAGAAAGATTGAGAAAATCCTAGGTTCTTCAGGTTGTTACTGAAAATCTCAAAGAAGGTGCATTTTGAAAAACATTCTACCTCTAACAGTTTTATACCTAAAATAATAAACACCAAATTCAGCAACAAATATAAATATCCAAAATTATTCATCCTAAAACCAATTACTGAACACCAGAAGAGGAATACTTCATATCAGCAGCTCTTTGAAAAAGCTAATAAAATGCATTGGAAAAACATAAAGAGGGCATGAACAAGAGCTTGTTTTAATAAAAATAAAAAAATAAAAAAATAGCCCAAATTATACAATGCACACTCGGCAAATTGACAAGCTTCATGTTTTCACAAGGGCTAACACAGTTTCTGTTTTAAATTTCATTTAAAATCAACAGAAAAGGGTTACCACATGCTGTGGGTAAATATACTAGTTCTGGGAGCCATTATTTTTGCTGCTGTTGTTGTCAAAAGCTTTGTTAAATAAAAAATAAAAAAGGAAAGAAAGGAGAGAGAGAGAAAACAGTGATTTTTGTAGAGCCTTGAGTGCCAGTCAAACATTAACACTATTTTCTTCGCTTTGTTTGCTTTCCTGCTTGCCTTGATTGCTTTCTCCCTTCGTTACACCCACACTGCCTGACCTCTTCTTGCTCCTGTTCTCTATACTCCCTAAATTACCTACCCATATGCACCACATTAAAACATGTTATCATCTTCTCTTCCCATTACATCCATCAGAATTGTCAACTTTGCAAATTTACTGTGAGGGTCAAATAACTAATATTTCTCTGCATGTCACAGCTTATAGATTCATGCAATTAAGGGAGATTATCAACTTTCAGCACAAAAAGTTTATCATCTTCCCATTTTCTGAGAAACAAATGGAAACTCTAAAAGCCAGAAAGTCTGGAGACAATAAAGAGATCATTAACTTTACTCTTTTTTTACATCTTGTAAGTGTTACAAGCCTGTTCCACGATCCTTGCAAGAAGAGGACTGACATGACTGACCCATATTCAGGTCGCTCTCTGTCCTCCAGCACAGGTGCATTCCTCATCCTGCCCCACCACCCTGCTCTTTGGACACAGGGGTCATCTTCATTTTTCTGTGCTCTTGATTTATGATTAGTGTGTCTAAGTGTTATAATGATTCAAATAATATATAAGAACATTAGACAACTCATGGCCACTGCCTTCCCTTCAGAGGACATGGGGGAATTGCTGAGTGCATCTCCCTGCTGCTGAGAGCTGCCCAGAATTTGCACCCTCCATGAGGCTGCAGGCACAGTGTCAGGCTGAGGTGCTGCCTCCTTTTCTGAAAGCACAGCTCCCATCACACACACTGCAAGCAGCCACAGCAGTGTAGACTGGGGAGAACAATACAAGAAAGGATCCCAAAACTTGGATCCAGGGACTGCAGAGTTTGGATCACCGAGGTTTAGTAAGAATTTTTACAAATAAACCAAACGCAAGATACATTTTGTCAACTTCTCCTCCCTTCCTGTCACACCTATTTGGACTCTCTAATGAAGTTAAAATTGCACAGTAAATACTGCCTCCCACAGAAGGATCTCAACTGGAACTGCTGCCATCCCATTTCCTGGCAGTGAGGAGGCCCTATTATTAAGCATTTGCAGATGCAGCTTGCATTGTCCAAGATAAAAAGCACATCTAACAAAAATGAGATAAAAAGTGCATTGATGAAGCCTTCCATTTAGCTGCTCATCAGCCTACAGGACCCCGTGATCCAGCTGATATTTTCCACTTGTGATTGTTGGCCACAATCTCATGGGTGCCAGGCTTGAGAAGATGGAGAGGGCTATTGGAAAAGGGTTATAGTTTGGTCTCGTTGGCAAAAACAGGCAGCTGCAAGGACAGGAGTGTGTAGGCAGCCAATGAGTAGTTATAAAGGACATTACACACCATATTTAGATATAGACCCTTTTAAAAACCATTGAACATGTTTGCTAAATGAAAGTCCCATTTCCTGTAAGTGACACTCAGGTCTGAGCAGCATCATGCTGGCTCTCTCTAGAAAGCACAGGCTGACTTCCAAGCCTACACAATGCTAAACATAAAATAATCTCAGCAGACTTGCCCATCAGCAGAGAAATGAGAACATGATCCATTATAAAACAGAAGACAGAAATCTATTTGAAAAACACAAACTCATTTTGATTTTGAGTACGTCACCAACAAAGCAATAAAAAACATTTATTTCCTTTTTTTTCCTCTTTGTGTAATACTTCAAAGTTTACAATGGTGTGAAAAAGGAAATCATGCAGCAGGTATCTAAGGATAACAGCAAAAGGAACTCTACCTCCTGCAGACACTGCACTGTTTTCCAGCTTGTTCTCTATGGCATAATCTTCATTTTATGCTAGTTGTAGGGAAGACACTTAGTATCTGGTCACATCACACACATCTTTTACATATCACTGATGTTGAGTCTGTCCTAGTATATATTCTTTTTACACTTGAGAAGTTTTTTGGCTATGAGAAGGCTGACACAGCCTTCTTCAATCAAAGGGCACTATCCTCCTCTTACAGGAAGGCAGTGTCTGTGTTTTCAAAAGCTCCAAAGGTAGCTGGACAGGATTACTAGCAAGGATTATGCAAGGCACTGTTAAAGAACTACTTCAGACAAAAAAAAAAGGGGAGGGGAAGAAAAAAAAAAAAAGAAAAAAAAAAGAGAAAAAAAGATAAAAAACTACCAAAACAAAAAAACACAAACAGACCAGCAGTAAAAAGTGAAAAATCTGTTTTCACAATGTCAGGATGATCTGTAGTAGAGTCTTATATGTACATCTTATGAGTAGAAAACTGCAAGAGGAAGAGGGAATACTTCTATCCCAGATTTCTTTTTAGCTAAGGACTAAAATAATTCTTTTTTTTTTTTTCAGGTTAATATATAACAGTAGTACATAAAAGGTCCAGTTTCAGGGGGAAGGAAGGCGGGTGGTTTACATGTCAGGCCAAATTCAGATCCCATTACTCACATTAGCAAGCAGCTACACAAAAGACCTCAGTTACTTCAGAGGGATTAATCACAGGCTAAGGTTCCACTTAAACTGAATGAGGAGCAAAATTTGCCTCTAAATTACATACAGTTAATATTTTAGAAATCCTAGAAAATCTGTATAAATATACACCATCTCCACGAGAGACAAGTTGTAGTCAAAGTTCATCATATTTTTGCTTCAAACTGTGTATTTGGTTTCCCAAGAATCCAAACTTTACCAGTCATTGCAATGCTATATGAAAAGTTTGAGAACATAATCTTCAAGGCCATTAGAAATAATCATCTAAAAATCCAAGTATTTCTTTTCATTACTATGAATGAGATATTTGGATGAAATCATTATAAAACGATGAAGAATCTTACTTGGCTTAAAAGTTTTGAAACTCCTTTAGCATGTTCAAAATCAGGTCTTCCAAGTACAGCAGACTCCTTATTCAGCTCTTCCCTTCCTTTCTTGTACTTAGCCTAAAAGAAAAAAATAAAAAAAATTAAATTAAAAAAAAAAAATTAAAAAGAAGGCAGGGGATATGAATCACTAATAAATTGTTCAGGTTTGTTTTATCAAGAGAAATGTAAGCATTAAAGCTAGCAGAAAAACTCACGTAATGGTCTGCATTGACACTACTGCTCTAATCAACTAAAGCCCTTCTCAGGGTTCAGCTCCTTAACAATATAATATTTATTAATTGTAAAACACAATGAGCAGCATTCAAAAAATTCAATTTTAACCAAATGCACAGTTTAAGCCAGAGAAATATTGTCCTCTCGATCAAGGCAGAATGAGTTACAGTGGCTCAGCATTTCTTATGACAGTGTCTACAGTTAACACAAGATTATTTGCAGCAGCTGAAAACAGTCTTGAAATCAAACTAGTCTGAGGGGCAACTTTTTTGAACTGTAAGGTCAAATTCCACTCTCAGTTTTACCACTGTGGTCTCGCTGGATGTCAGTGAGACTGCACTGGTGTCACAGAGCTGAATTAGTCCCACAAGGTTAATGTTATGTGATCTCTCCAGCTGAACTGCCTCCCATGCAAATTGCTGCAATATTTTTCCACAATGCATTAGAAAAAAACACAGACGAATCAACAATAGGTGCTTTACAATACCACAAACTACATTAGCCATTGCCTAAAATAGGCTTCTTGCATTACTCAAGCATTGTGAATCAGCAAGGACACATCATAAGAACAGACTGGGAGAAATACACGTCCCAAAGCCACTCTAAGAGCACTTGAACAGCAATTAGTAAACTTGCATGTTGAACGTTATACTCAGAAGTAGTTCTTGGTTTACAAAATATCTTGAATATTGAAAAGTGAATTTCAATCTCTTTAATCTGTCTCTCTGAATGTGTCTAGTCAGTCTCATATTTAATTAATTACTTTAAAACTTGACACAAGTCTTTTAGTATATATATTGTTTGACTTGTCTACAGTAAAATACTAAACTGCATCACACACTGCTGCTTCTGAAACTGCTCCTTCACCTGTGCATTAACTGAGGTCACAGTGGAAGGGCAAAGAATTTGAGAAGGGAGTTCAGGGAGGAGAACCCCCATGGAAGAGGCAGCATCTGCACAGCTCTTGGAGGGACAGCAGGGAATTGCATTTTCCTGTAGCTGCTGGCTGAGATGGGAAAAGTAAGGGGTATCCTGGGATCCCAGCTTCTCTCACACCAAGGTAAAAAAAGGTTTGAGATGTCTTCTGAAGGGCAATATAGCATAAAGCTGAAACAAAACCAACTATAGCAATTTTCATGTTGTCTTTACATCAATTACCAATAATTGCAAAGATCATACTGTCAATATCTAAAAAGGAGAATTCCATAGCTTACTAGCTTGCCAGGCAAGACTGGTTTGTTTTGGTTATGTTTGGATTTCTTTTAATCAAATCTCCGTATTAGATTTGGGGGTGCAGGTTTTCTGTTCAAGACACTTGAGAGTTCCAGCAGCATTTAAAAAAAACTGATCAAAATTAGAATTTAAAAATTAGATGTCTAAAAAAAATATAAAGAGAGTAGAAGGAGAACATACATCACTTATTATCTTCGTTATCTCAGTTGCCTTCTTTATGTCTGGTCTGTTCAGCACTTCAGTGTACCTATGAGTATCTTGCACATCCTTCTTATAGGATACCTGTCAAAAAAAACCCCACAGTTTTGTTTAAAATAAACAATAAAGTTTGATTTTTTAATCAGCTTTGAATGACCTGTCAAATCAGACATCAAACTAAATAGAACTCCACTTAAATTTTTCCAACAGAGTTCTGCCTTGACAGGGATTGTAAGGTAAAGACCTACACACAAGGTAACACAATAAGGAAGAAATTCAGAAGCATAAAGTACAATTTGAAAAAGAAAAATGGTTTTACTTAGAAGCATAGAGGAAAATTAAAGCATTGCAAGGACACAAATATTAGGTTTTATCATAAAATTTCAGAGAAATTTTAAGAGTATAGATTTTTTTCCTATGTTGTACCCACTTTTAATACAAACTAACCCCTGCTCTGATACTGAGCACTGCAGCCTAGGAGATTGCAGGTACACTGAAGAGAAACTGTAATTCTGTCATAGTGAGTTTCCTTCTCAGTACTAGACAAACATGTCGTTTGTATGTAACTCAATGATACAACTCCATCTCAGCATGCCCACAACGCCATTTATTTGCTCCTTTGCACAATCATGGGAACAAGAAGGCTGAGTATTCCAGCATGCTGAGTACACGAGTGGCTCTTTCTGCTTGTGCAAATGCCACTACCACAATTAATGGGCTCAGAAAACTTTGGCCAGAAGGCTCAACCACAGACAGGAGACTCCAAACATTCTCCGTTTAGCAAAGCAATCATGGGAACAGCAGAGACCTCAGGGACATTAGAGAACTCCACAAATTATTCTTCTTTTCCCTATTCAAGGTTTGTGAACTCCTTCTTACTCTAACACATGTGCCAATCTAAGCCAATTTCCAAGGGCTATCTTACTGAATTATTCTTAATGGTATTCTGTCTCTGATATTCAAAAGTGTCAGACAAATTGAAGCTTCACACAAAAGTTGGAGAACACAAAATAAAGTTTAGAGGAAATAGAAAGTAAAAGAATAGTTCCTTCTTTACTGGGAAATCATTCAGATTTTCTTTTGTCACTTCACAAAGTTAATTAACCTCTCAAGATAGTATTTCACCAGCAAGAAAGTTCTCAGCTTGAAGTTTCTCATTATAACCTCTGGTCCTATTTCCAACGTAAAGTTTCACTCTGGGTACAATGCAACAAACTCATAAACTGCAGCAGTCAGTGACAAATGTACTTCATAGAAATGGTATTGCAAAAAGAAAAGGAAAAAAATTTACTCTTTGGCAAATATTTCACATGCAACAGGAAAGTAATTTTGTGTCCATATGGCTTCAGCTAAGCAGACAAGCTAAACAGGCTTCACTGTTGGCTGCCTGCCCACAATAGATCTTATAATTTTTAATCTGCCATGATACACAAGTGTAATCACTGATAAAAGAAACAAATAAATAGATTTGATAGATTCAGCCCAAATTATCATATACATACAAAACAGAAGTTGACTCTTACAGCTGGTGAAAAACCACTGGAACTTTCGTTTTAGTTATGTTTAGATTTTCTCTAATTTTTAAGAAACTAGAGGTAGAGAGAAGCATTTGCAATTCAGGACTTTACATGAATTTAGTTAATTATATGCTGTTCATCCTAATGACCACATGAGGTGAGGTGAAAACCACAAAGGCAGCAGAAACAGGTTTCTGAATAGCACCCTATGATCCATGTAAATTGCAAATTAAAGGCCAGCATATGTGCTCAAAATAGAAATTAGGAATGTAGTGAATTTAACATCAGAGAATCAAGAACAGTGGTGATAAAGTTGAGGAAATGTGGTCACTTATTGCTCCCAAATGGCATGATCATATAGTACATGAAATAATGGATTGTGGTTAATTTCAGGGAAAGGAAGGGGGGGAGAAATAAGACAGTGACAGTCCTTTATATTTCACCATTTCCAATTATATTAGATGCAAGGCCAATTGCTGTATCTTTCCCTGAGTGAATTATTATTCTTCCTGCACCCAAACCAGTATACCTATTACTTATGTCTGAGGGTAAGTCATCTAGCATTTTACAAATGTCTGCAATATATATTTGCTCCATTCTGCAGCTTGTCATACTCCAGTGAGAATAAAAATGTTATGCAGCAGAACAGTAGTTTGTCAGAGGTAGGCCAAAGAAAGAAAAAATATGTTTCCCATTTCCTGAATAACCTCAATCCCTGGATGCTGACCCTCTCCCATTGGGACACTGTGCTGGCCTCTATTACACAGCTGCTATTCTGTTCCTTCTAGTAATTTTTTTTTTTTTTAATAGTGCTATGTTAGAACAGTAAAACCAGAGCTACTCTGAGAGAGCAGGGGAACAGATGTAGACAGGGCAAAGCAAGAGGCTTGGTGTGTGCACCCATGGGCATCAGAAGATGGAAAGTGAAGAAGCCCACGAGGGGGGGAGAGCAGCAAAAGAAAGGAAACAGCAGAAGCACCCAGAGGAGGAGCCCTCTTTTGTCCTGAGCTGGTTCAGCCAAGAGCCTCATACCCCGGCTGGAATTTCCAGGCATTACATGACACCCTTACTCAATCTTCACTTCAAAGGGTTGCTCAGGCTCCACCAAAAAAACTATCAGCAAAGGCTCAAAAATTGCTCCACTTCATGAGGACTACAGGCCTACAAAAATTTTGTTCCAGCTGGCTTTTGCATAGGAAAAGCAACTGAGATAACAATTTCAGAGCAGCAGTGAAAGACCTAGATGGAGAGTTCGAGCAGACTGGTGGGAAATGCAAGAGAGTAAGAAGGAGCAACTAAAAGGGAAAAAAATGTACCATCATGAGTTTTGAAGCTGAAAACAGTAAATTACAGACACCAACTACATTTAAAGTGAGTTTCTACCCAATTTGAAATTACAATGAAAATTGTTACATTGTAACGGTGGGTTACATTGTTGAATTTTTCTGTGAAGCAATAATTGGCAAAATCATTTCTCATTTTTAATCCCAAATGTGATTACATACTCTGAACTGCAACCGGTTTTTGCAAAGCATGGAGAATATTCAGGGCCGGCTCATAATTAGTGGACTGATTTTAATAGGGCCAAACCTCGAGCTCTTATAAAATGCATAAGGTCCACTGAGGATAAACATGCTGATCTAGTTACTCCAGTAGGGTCTGGAAGGTGCTTAGCCTTACATGGATACCACTGGAATGCACTTCAGTGTCATAAAGCAAACAGATTTCTAACAAAACATCTCAGACTGTCAATCAATAAATAGCAACTTGAGCCAAGCAAACCTGGGTTTAAGAGATTCAGACCTTTCCTGAAATTCTTTATCTCCTCATTTATTCCAATAACAAAGCTGTTCCAAACAATACATAATAAATTACTAAAATATGCATAAGCAGCTATGAACACATTTTGCCCTCTTAAGGATTTAGCAAGAAGTTGGGCACACCTGTCTGCACAAGAATTTGTCTCTTACTGTTTGTCCCTGATTAGCATTTTCTAATAGCTGTTAAGTCCACTAACTAATGGCCTGTCAGCTGTGTCTCTGCCCTCTTTCCTCTCATCTACACTTCGGGGTCCATCAACACTAAGAAAATGACTAGCTGGTGACAATCATCATTGGCAACTGCTTTTCTAATTCCTACTCAAATGATGTTGAAAACTGTTTTCCGGCTTGTGTAAAAGAGACAAACACATTTCTGGCCCATTACAGATTGATGCAGTCATCCTTTCCAGTAATGGGCCTTAAAATTGATTGGTCCCAATTACATCAAGAGTAAACATCATTTTCAGCACCAGTTGAAAGTGGTCCAGGGGGACCCACTGTTGACAACCACTGTCAGCAGAAAGTTAGTCAATGAAAGGTGATTTTTCTAAAACAGATACTGAACAGAGAGCCAGGAGAAGCTTGACTTCACCATGATCTGCATCAAAACAAACATTAAAATTTGGGTGTTACTGATGGTATTTAAGCACATCCAGTTTAAGATCTGCTGATTTGATCTTATCAGAAAGAATGCATTTTTTTTGTGTGTGTGTGGATTGTGACTGCACGATATCCTGAATAGGAAAAACAACTTACTCCTAAGACAATATAGACATCTTAAATATTCCAATTTAGATGGTGAGTGAAACATATAAATTATCATTACTGACCTCATGTGAAGTGGAAAGTGTATACATATACATCAGAAGTTTGCCCAACTGTCAATTAATATTTCTAAAAAAGCACTGTTTTGTAGAAAACTATAAGAGAAAAGATACCAGGGCTTTAAAATCAGATGTGCAATCTTGCCTTTTAAATATCCACAGATGAGTGTACTGTGGTTTTCTTAGCTGTAAAATCAGAACACCACATCCTTATTTCATACCATGTAATGTTGTGAAGAGAATCAGTCATTTTAACGAACCAGAACATTTATACTGCTGTAATATTTAACATTGTTTTCTTATTCAAAATGCCCAGTAATGGACCAGGTCGTGGAACAGACAAAATTATGATGCACAGTTTTGAGTACCTTCATCAAATGCTAGTGCAGCTTCCACATAGACACAACATAGCAAGTGATTTCTTTGCTTTAGAAATTTAGCTGTCATGTAATTTCACTGTTCAACTACATCCTTCCATTCACAATATACTCAGACACACAGAAACAAAACTCTGTTTTGTGACATGACATTGTTTCAAGACTACCACTTTGTTTTGGTCCCAAGTTAGGAAACTTCCAAATGAGTTAACTGATCAGCTAAACACAGACAAAGTAGGCTGATGGTCTCTACTATGTTCTTCTGAAAATGGCTTTGTGTGCCAAAGTCACATCATTAACATTCACTTCACAAAACACAAACACAATTTCTTGAGAAAAGTACTCTGGTTTGGATAAACATGCTTCCCTTCAAGCATTATGTAGTATTTAAATTCTTTTTAAAGTATATTTCCTGTCCTTAGAAAAGTCACTTGTGTTCATTTGAGAGCAATTTTCTTCAGTCTAAGTATAAAAAAGAGAAAAAATTATTTTCTTATACATGATCACATTGTTCAGGAGATTTTACAGTATTTCCCTGTTACCCAGTTTCTGCCCAAACATACAGAACATATTAATGATATTCAAAGTGGTGTGAAGGCCTCCAGCACATGACAATTTCAAAATGTCAGCACAAATGTATGGTAAGTTGAATACAGTTTTTAATTTTTAAAGGAAATTGCACGTTTCACAGAGTTGAGTAGAAATGTCAGCCTTATTTTAAGGCTGAGTAAATAGTCTTAAACACATCCTAATCCTATTAGATGCAAACCCTCCATGTAAAGGTTGAATTGAGTTGGCAGAGCATTGTAGGTAAACATGTGTTCTGCTCCCACAGGTAAACCGTACTGAATGGAAGATAAAAGAGCTTTGTCCTTCCAGCTCCCCAGTAGTTTCCCCTCTTTTTCTCTGCACTTGCAAAGCTATGATTACACAGATAACCTGAAATAGTTTGGAAAGACAAATGATTCACCTTTGGGATGCTCACTGTTCTGTGTTCTGACTCCAAGATGAAAACTCACATGGTTCTTAATTAAACCTGCATTTACAAAAGAAGAAATCCACAGCTATTCAGCACGATGCCCAAATATCACCCACAAGAGCTGTGTGATTCTGCTGAGCAATGACCAGCCTTACATAGCGTGCTCCTTTATGCGTGATGGGTATTTTCCCATTGCACTGCAGCTATCCATGAGCAACCAGAAAGCATCTGTTCTTAAACACATTAAAATAACTGGTTAGAGTTTTGTGTTGGATTTGGATGACTTATTTGATTTTTTGAAGTTTGCTCAGGCTGAAAATAACTTCCCTCATATCTTTTCCTTATTTCTAATATGCTGTTAAAAGTTCTCATTTATCAAAACATACTTCCCTCCCATGTTTTCCTTCATTTCCTTTTTATTTTTTTTGCTTGTTTTAAGGGTGAAAGATGAAACAACTGAATTTCATTTCTCCTCACATCTGTAACCTGCTCTCCTTAATTCTATTAGCAGGTGATACACAGCTGTAGAAGGGGAATAGGTTTTGCACTAGCATATTAATCTTCAAACTATGATGAATTTGCTACAGGAACTTGTCTCATATTCCTCCTAGTCCCACCACCTTCTCTGAGAGGGATTCACATCTCTCTTTCCAGCATTACTTCCTTTCCTAGCAGTCCACCATCATTCCTACTGCTAGGTAAATAAAAAACCTCTTGCTTCTGGGGAGAGACATTGATGTTCCCAGTTCCTCTGCTCTGTCAGTGTGACACCCTGATGCTTCCAGCAGCAGAAATGGACAGTGTTTGACAGGAAGAAGGAATTCTCTAATCAAGGCAGGTTACAAATTACTGCTGGGAATTTCATTGCAGGTATTTCCTAGCAGAAGAAACAGTTATTCTTCAAACATAATGCTTCCCTGAAGTTTTCCAGCAGCCTTTTAATCAGAAACCAGCTGTCAAGATTCTGCACACAGACATACATCTAGCATTGACATTTAGTTTACAGCCTATATAACCTGAGTGTTTGTTGCACTGTTAGTAGGGGAATATAGGGTAAATTTAAGGTAATTTAAAATGAACACCCAAGCTACATTGTCTACATTATTAGCAGCAAATAAACATCTCATTTATCTAAGAAAAAAGAGTTGTAAAATGACATGCCTAATTAAATTAATTTGGTTACCTAAACAAGAATGGGACTGGATCATAACTTTTAAGGTTATACATCAGCTATCTTAAAAGCTTTGTGTGCCCCTTAAAATGGTATCATTATTTTAAACAATCTTCTCCTAAAATTTGTTTTCTCACAAGTAAGCTTTTACAAAATCCAAAACTAACATAAATTTTTCTTCAAAGTTCTGTCTGCATCATTCAAGACTAATAATCTGCCCTAAGTAATGATGCATTGAGCTAATAATGAAATCAAACCTGACTTGATTCTAATAAAAAATGTAAATACCATTATTAGGCTTTTATATTGTGAAAACCTTCACAACTTCAAGACAATAACAAGCAGCTGAAAAAAAAAGCGATCAACTTTCAAAATATTGCTAAGTACTCCTAATTATTTGTAAGTTACCTAAATAAAACTACAAGAACAAATACTTTGGTCAAGTGGTATAAACCAGAGCAGGCATCGAACTGGACATTATGACTCAAATTCTGTAAAATAAATAATATATTAATCTATTCAATTCTTTTGAAAATTCATTTGATATATATTAATGAGATAGGAACAAACTTATTCTTATGCATAAAAGCGTGCAAGTGCAGGGCACACACAGCTCACTCACAGCTCCTCTATACAGCACCCTTGAAGAGCTATCCAAGTATTGGCAGATTAAGACACTGAAACAACACTGGTGTTCATTTAAACAAAGAACTTTATACACTTTAAAAGTAGCTACAAGTGAATTCAGAAAACCTGTGCCTGCAATTTTATTTCAAAGTGATAGCACCTAGTTACTACTGATAAACAGTAACTACCACTTTCCACTGCAGTTCAGAATAAAATTCACATCCTGTTACCCATAGCACATTTTATACACTCACCATGTCCTAAATTACTTCAGAGCAAATAATTTATAAAAAACACCAACTAAGGAAATATGGAAATATTCTATGCCCAATTCATTTCAGTAAGCTGTAACAGATGTATCTACCCAAAACAAGCACACTCATTTCAGATGGGGAAGTACTTACATCACTCTGGTGTTTACTGACTTCCATGGCATGTTTAACATCTGGAGGTTCCCTCATACGTGCATAGTCTGAAAATCCTTTCTCAGCATCATGTTTTTGTTTATAGAGAACCTGAAAAGAGCAACATTATACTTTTGTGACCTGAGAAGAGCAGGTATAACAACATGAGCTAGGTTAAACCTAGTGGCATAGTAAGTTTCAGGAAGAAACTTAATAAATAATTAAGCTCCTTAATGGAACCAGAACACTGAAATGAGAGCAGCTTCCACCCAAAACAGAGACATATGAGGCATAGTCAGCAGACAGATTTCTCTGCATCTGTTATTGGGACAGACGCAAGGGTAAGCAGGGGAAAGAAATAGTAATACACAAAAACAGAAAATGAAGCTTAACAAGGTGAGAAGACAGCCCAGGGAAAAGCACAAGCGAAAGGTGGGGTTTTTTTAAACACACTTGAAGCTATCAGCTATATAATTATTCTCCATTTTCAGAAAAAAAAAATATTTCATTAATTTGTCATAAACAGTTTTCCATTTCCATTGCCCAAAGTTCTATTTCTTCCACTGTTGGGAAACTATCAGCACAATACATATTTTGACTTAGCCCCAGTTCACCAAAAAAAAAAAAAAAAAACAGTATTTACATTCAATTGTCATCATGGTAAATGAAAATGGAATTGAATTGTGACTTTATAAACACCTTTACTTTTATAATAGAAACGGAACTCAATGCTGGGCATTCATCCATCTTTCACTGCACAGTGTTATACTTACATACACACATTCACATACTGCAACTGCCTGAAAATCTCATCTTACACTTATCCTTGTCAGAAGCTTTTAGGCTTATATTAAGGAAAATTCACCAAGTTTTGATGCCTAAAAAGTAGCAACCATCAAGAAAATTCATTTTCTAATACTCTCATGAGCAAGCATTAAAATAATCCATAAGAAGACGGCAAGTATTAAATAAGATAGAAAGCTGATTAGGAGGAAAAGGATTGACACGAAAACCCATGATAGCAATAAAAGAACACTGTGAAATTTTGAGACAGAAATTCTCAACTACAGAGATTCAGACTCTTTTAGGACAGGACACTAGAACTGTGAGAAAATGCTGTATCTGTTTTTGTTTAAAGCAAGATTTCATCTGAGTTACAGAGTAGTGTGCCCAAAGCAATATGTTAGTATCTGCCCTGACTAGCTCAGATTACAAAATGATATACAGGCTGAGAGATTAAGACAAGAAGGGGAGAAGGGTATTTTTGTACGTCTACTATGTGAACAAAAGTATCAAATCAGGAACCTTAAAATGTGCCAGCTCCTTATCCAGGGTAAGGCAGTCAGCCCTCTGCAGGAACAAACACAACCAACAGCGAAACAAAGAGCCCTACACTGGTTACATCTTGCAAATGGGAAAGCTCATAATCTTTAACGCCACTAAAGCACCACTAACAAATTGTTCTCCGCAAAAGTGTAATTACAATACAGACATGTGCCACAAAAACTCTTTTTCTAATTCTCCTTGCTTACACTGTCACTTTTAAGATGTTCTCCACTTAATGCCATTTTGAACAGAAGACCCGTGCAGTTACTTCCAAAATCTACTCATTTGCAGATATTTTGTTACATTGCCATTTTGCTGGTTCAACAGCTCTATTTTTCCCCTGGTGAATGGCCTATGTAACCAAGATATGAAAACACAGTAACACATCAACTCTCAGCATGAGAAATTTAACAGAAATTATGAGTATCTGCTGTTTTGGGAAAAGATGACCATTTCTTTAGCTTAATGTAGAAACATTTCACTTGCTTTGGCATCTGTTCTTCCTATCATTTCCCATTATTTTCATTAACTCACTGAAGTAGTCTTGATGCAATCCTAGGCTAGGAGGGGTTCAATGGCTGTCTAGTTTAATTTGGGACAGTTTAGTGCAGAACTATTCCTAGATTTGTAAATCGCTTCCAATTAAGCATAAAAAAATATTTATAATTATTTCATCAATATTATTTTACAGGTTAGTATGCATATATTTATTTCTCTACTCATATTGATTTTCAAGTTTTAGCTAAACTGAATGTCCTTTATCAAACCTACATACGAAACCACTCTACACAGAGATCAAGCATTATAGGTCACTGACATAACCTTTACCCTGTAGTGGTTCCATTTATTAACTTGAGAAATACAAGGCAATTATTTAAGTAGGTATGAATTCAGATTGAACCAATTTGTAAGTACTCATTTTTAATTTTTCTTCTCTCTTTTACACCAGTGTGTCAATAGGAAGCTGCATTAAGGAAGGTTTTGTGCTCTTTTGACCTAGCTCTGACTGACCCCCTGTTTAAGCATACATTAGACACTATTACATTTTTATTTTTATATTTCCCTTTATATTCAGTAAGATGTGCTCTGAACTTAAGATCCACAAAGTAGGATTTTGTAGGAGGAAATGTTCAAGACCAAAAATGTCACACTAATCTCCATATAGAGAACTAGATTATCCAATATATTTGTGCAAAACAGAACTATAGAAGTCCAGAAGACTAATGTCTGCCACCATAAAACAGAGGAAATATTGAATATGACATTTCCTACCATTAAACAAACCTGAAAAATTACATAAAACAATTTGATAATGTGCAATATGATTGGAAATGATGCGATAAACAACAAAATTTTTATTGTCATTTAAAAAAACCCTCTGAAACTTCCTCTGGAAGTTGAAAACACTGCTTAAGATTCTCTGGGCTCATCGCCTTTATAAAGAAACAGGAAATACTGTTCAACATTGACTCTTTGAGATATTGCCCTGTGCAAAGTAGAAAATTAAACTGCCTTCAGTTTGCTTTAGATTATCCCTTTTAGATAAGAAAAACAGTGCAATCACTTCTTATGGCAGAAATAAAGTGATGAAAAAAGTGATGAAGTGCTTACTTTTTTTCAACACTGTTTTCCCCCAAGCAATTTTAAATACCTTTATCATTGTTTTTGACACCTTATTTTAAAAAATATTGTTTTACATAAGGAAGTATTCAGCACACTGATCTTCAGACAAGAAAAAGACTTAGCACAGAGCTAGCAATGATCAGAAATTTTCCTTCAGCAATATTTCCCACAAAAATATTGCAATTTCTCCAAAAATTTACATTTCCTTGCAGAAAAATCAAAATGAAGGCTTCCTGCCTAGACTGCTCTCACCAAATTTATTTTCTCACTGCAGAAAACAGGGAAATTGGTGAGAGCTTTGTAGGCTGGTAAGAAGAGTGAAGTAATTCAGTGATGACAGGGACTTCTCCTACTTCTCCTCTTTCTAGCTTACTCTGAGGACAACTATGACAAAAGTGAGAGAGGGAGGAAAATCTGGTTGCTCATTCTCAAGAGAGCCATTTAAAAGGCCACAGTCAAACTTTCTGTGAAGAGGGGAAAAAATTAAATTGATAAAAGCCACCCAAGTATGTCGGGGTGTGAAACTTCCTTTTTAATCTTCCTGAAACATGTTTTCCCATAAACAGCATTGGGATTTTTTTTGTCAGTTTTGGATAGCTGTCATTCTCTATGGGTATTTATTTCCTTCTTCATGCCAGTTCTACATAAACACAAAAGAGCAAACAAGGGTTGCATGCAAAAGCCAGCAGGCAGTCTTGTGCCAGGTTTTCCTGAGTGTCTTGAAGAGAGAATTGAGCATGATTCAATACAGCTAATATGGGGAAGAGGTTCCACAGGAAGAGAACCACATGTGTCAGGGTGCTGTACCCTCCATTACAACAATTTCCTGATGTCAGTACTGACACTGCATGGCAGGACCCCTGAAGGAGGAGATCGTTCCTCTGCTGAAATCACTGACAATTGCCACATGAGTTAAAGAATAAAAACAGTCAGTGGTGCTGTGGCCTGTTGGCTCTGGACAGGACAGTGCAGGGCAGCTCTAGGTGGGGTATAACTCTTTGAGAAAAACAGGAAATTTCCCCTAGTTGTCTCCAAGTTCCTAAATCATGTGTGTAATTTGAAATGGGTATCAAATGACTAAACTGGGCTAGATAAAGGCAGGCTGAAGACAAGGCTGCTGGGCAGCAGCAGCACAGCAGCACCATTTCAGGAGCACCTTTTGCATCGTGGGAGAGCCCATTTGCAGAGGACACACCTCTGCAAGGAGATCCTCTGCCAGAAGCACCCCAGCATGTGCCAGAGGGCAGCACTGGGGAAAATCAGGGGCTTGCTTTCTTTCACGATCCTCTAGTCCCAATGCACCTGCCCAGCGTATGAGGCTGTGGATCCTGCCAAGAACACAGAATCACGGAGCAAGAGGAGTCCTGCTTGATCTGCCCACAAAAGCATTCCAGCCCAGCATGGCATCTAAAAATCATGAAAAGTGAGTCAAAGGTGCAAATTTGCTCTAATGTGGGTAGGGAGAGCACATACTCATATTTTCCACCTCTCGGGAAATCAGCACCTATTTTAAAATCAAGTTACTATAAGTCAGGACCAGACTGCAATTCTGTGTTTACAGCAGCCTTCTTGGAGCAGAGCTGGTGCAATGGCCAGCTGGTGCTGTTCACTCTCCTTCCTATGGCATATCTGTAGTCTCCTCCTGAAGTGATGACCTATAAATTCACAATCCCAGCTAGACAGATGCAGCAGAAAACCCCTCTGCCATATCCTGACCCAGCTGAAATCTGAAATCCTTGTATTAGCTACTTAGGTACTGCAGTGATAGCCACAATGTGGATTAGATTTGAATACTGTGGAGAAGATTTTTCACTAGAAAATCCCCTGAGATCTCTCTCAAAGTAGTATTAAATTCAGGTCCATTGCAGCAGTAAACCACAAGTTGGAAAAATGTGTCAGCATATCTTTAAGTTTTATGGTATATTATGATTTATAATGCATCTACTCCTAAGGGGATAGTATGAATTTTATGGGAAAAAATTTCTGCTTAAATATAACTCACCCTATATGCATATTTTTTTCTCTAGAACTGTTGGATGATTGAATAAAACCTTCAAAAACTACCAAATAAAAATGTCAGTCTTCTTCTTAAAAGGGTTTTTTGAGGAACCAATGGTTTCGTTTTTAGTTTCAGTTATCTTTTCTGCCACATCATCAATGTTAATTAACCTCATTTGCGTAAGCTAATGTAGAATGCAATAATTTGGAATGAATTTAGGAGTAAATCTGTGGCAAAACAGTTAACTAATATTTTATAAATCAAGCTAATGGCTTAAAAATGTTATACAAGTTTAATTCCCAATTTATTTTTACTGTAATTCCTCTAATCACTCACTTTAAAATGAAATGTCACATAAATGTCATTTCAGCTACTGTGGTGCTTTAATTTGTCTATATATGTTCCTTTTCAAACTCTGAAAACTAAAAATATGTTATTATATTTGCTTCATATAGCCTCGACTAACATAATGCTTTATACCAAAACATTTCTCCACAAGCTGTCCTGAAATTTCAGTCCTTTTTTTATTAATATTTTCCTTTGTCTGAAAAAGTATCACTGCATTACAAGAAATCATATTGAGATACAATCAATATTATGGATTAGAAGCATGTTCCCTTCACGCACTGGCTATTTTAAACTATATATAGTTGATATCTTTAAGAGAGGAGAAAGTAAAAACAAGAAAACCATGGAAATTCTTGGTGGACAGAAAGCCATGACCATCTATCCAATGTAATTCTCATGAGTAACAATGAAAATCTGTAACCTCATTCATATTCATATTACACACACTCAACATTCACAATTCCACCGAGGTCAGTGGACATGAAGGGTCACCTGCCTACTCTTAGAGTATTATATTTTTGAGCTCTTGAAGGCAACTGAACCAGAATCTACTATTTTACCGGTTGTTTATAAGCTTTACACTATGTTCAATATACTTCATTTCATATTTTAATTCTATTAAATTTGTTGTAAGTAGTAGTATGGAGATCATCAGAAATGCATTTACTGCTACCACTGCCTTTAGAAGTCATTGAAGCAGTTTTTTCTTTTATTTTGCCTTCAGCATCAAACCTTTTATATAGTTAATATAACACCCAACTGGAAAAAGTTATATAAGATTCATTCATTTAATAAGAACCATGGAATGTCACTGAATTCAGTAATACCTCATTGCATTCATGGATTTCATTGGATTGATGAATGCACTACCAGCTTTTAAATGTATATTTAATAAACGTAAGTAAAATTCTCAGCATTTTAAAAATCAGTAGTTTTGGAAGTTAAGGAGTTATGGTGATAAACTCTGGTGATAAGCTCACCCAAATAAATCAAGTGGACAATCAAGTGTCTGCTCAAATATTTTGTTCAAAGTGTATTTAGTTTGACACACAATTAATCTAAAAATCATTTTTGCAATTCTAAAGTTGTACCTTGCTCTGAAGGTGCATTAGTTCTTTCGCAAATACACTGTCAATTGTGGCTGGCATCTGCTGATAAAGGGAGTTGGAAAGGTCTTTCTTAGCAGCTCCTTTATATTTCACCTACAGGGCAGAAAAAGGTGACACAATGAATAAAAATAAAAATGAAGATACAGTAAACATACTACTTCTTTCTAGGAAGTAAAATGGCACAGACCAGAACTGGAAAAAATTAATGCTATCATTAACTTCCAAATAAAACGTCTTTAAATAATACTTTATCGGCATGTGGCTAATTCACAGAGCGATGCAAAATACCTCCTAATTAAGTTCAATAATTTTGGTGGAAATACAAAATTAAATAAGCAAGGCAATTTTTTCTATCCTTTCTCAAATCATTTTCAAATCCAAAAATTACTTTTCTTCTTTCTCTTTTCCAGAGTCCTGCACCATGGGAGTGAGAGGTCAACTATAAATATTCTACCAACTATTAAGTATCAGCAATTAACTGCAGCTAGAAAGGAGAGAAACATTGAAGTTAGCATGTCTGCCATCGTTTCTGTTTCATCTGTTCATATTACAGTCTCATTTTTAAATTACATTTTATTTATCCTGTGTTTCCTCCAGTATTCAGTATTGGCAGCTCCTCACAAAGGAGTTTTACAAGAGATACCAGAGAAATAGCTCAAAACGTGTGAGGCTTTTCTTCAGATCTAAGTCTTTCAAATTCATAAAACAATAATAGCAACTCTGCTATAAAAGTAATCAAATGCCAAAAATATTTTCAATGATACTATCTAATGTCACTTATTAACTGTGTAATATACAGCTCCTCATTAGAGGCTAATTCCCCAAATGTATTATATGTATATATATCGGTAATTTTCTGTAACATTTGTTGCTGTTCCCCAAAACAGAGGGCTCTTTTTCACTGCAATTGCCATGCTGTTAACAATGTCAGCGTCCAAGATTTGCAAATACAGGTTATGGGACACTAGAGGTCAGTAATTTACAAGATAAATCATCCATCACATCATTGGCTTCGGTGCTGCAATAAACAGGCAGAGTGCTCAAAAGCGTGGTAATATCAAACTTACAGGGCTTAAAATTTCAGAATATTTTTATATCTCTAAATCTTTGATTAATAATTAGCAGCAGATTCTCTAGAATCAGACAGATGGATTAAATACTCTCTATATACTGTATTTTTGTAGACTACAATAGTCAGTCTCTTATAAAGTGCAATTACGTCAGATTTTCCCTTGGGACATGCCACTCCTCAGAAAACAGGAAGATAAATACAAGAAAAGTATTCATTAGATGCATTTACATTGAAAGCCACACAGCAAATCGTTGTATATCAGAAAGAGAATTCAGAATGTATATGTTATGTAACCTCAGACAGCAACACTGGAACTTTTTTATTATAATCATAAAGCTAGCACAAAAAATTAGGCACCAAAATTTTAATTTTTTTAAAGGGCCATAGTGACAAAAAAATCACTCAGAACCAGCAATTCCTAACAGAAGCCACTCTCTCTCAGGTGAAACTTCTGCTGCTGTTCTTGCCTGTGGAAAAAAATCAGAGATGCAATCCTACAGCACCTTGTGCCTGGGACAAGAAGAGCTGGCAGTAAATGCTGCTCTGACACTTTGGAAGCTGTTGATCTTTCTTTGCCACCACAGCTGTGTGTGTGCACGTGTCACAGGTATGCAGAGATAGACAGATAGATAGATAGATAGATAGATAGATAGATAGATAGATAGATGATACAAATAGATATAGATGATATAGCTATAGATGATATAGGTTATATAGATATAGATAGATGATAGATTATAGATAGAGATTCTATAGATATAGATGATATAGATTATATAGATTATATAGATATAGATGATAGATAGATAGATAGATAGATAGATAGATAGATAGATAGATAGATGATAGATATTCAGGCAACCCACAGATGGCACTGACCTAATGTCTGCCCCAGGCCTCTTTCTGAAGGAGGACAGGGTTGATAACATGGGAACATTTTCCTTGTCTCCTCCTGTTTGATATCAGGCTGCGAAATCTCCACAGCAGGGAAATTTCACGCAGGCGTAATTTGCAAACTTCATCACTGCAGAAAAAGTAAAATTTCTTTCCTATTCCTCAGTTTATCCACATATAAAATGGGATAGCTAGGACTGGCTCAGAACAATTAAAAAAGTAGTTTCAAATCCCAAAATAAAAGTGGCATGTAATTCCAAATTATTATTATTATTCACATGACAGTATACGCTAATTACAGCCTTTTAAGTGACTTCAGCTTTAAACAGAATTATCATTTGAAATAAGCCATCCTTCCCCTGCTAAAAATCACAGTATTCAACTGAAAGAGTTTTTAGGAAGGATAAGAAGCCAAGAAAATTCTTCAGTCTTTTAGATCTTACCTCAGAAATAAAAGCACCAAGGCTTCTCACATGCTTTAGCTGCGGGGTGTCAGGTACAAATATGCACTTGCCTTTAGATTTTTTAAACTCTTCTTTATAGTGTATCTACAAAGAGGAGAAAAAGAAGTTTAATTGTTTTTTAAAATACACACAAAGAAAAGTAAACACTGGTTATTGTTCTTTATATCTTTTTAATTATTTCTGTTTTATTTTATTCATGGATACTATGCTGGGCAGCTTGCAAATACCTCTGGCTGGATCAAATTAAACCATAAAGGGAAGCTACCAGTTCTCACGCACATTACCAAGGCTATGTAAAAGTCACAGAACTCTTTAATAATATAGATGAAAAAGACAGGATTTTTTTCTACATCTAGAGCACATTTTCACTACTGTTGTAGATGTTTTACCATCTCTAAAGAAAGAAGACTCGAATAATTGATCTCCTTGATCCTTGATCTCAAAGATAGAAACTAACTTCTAACACAGACCTAGCAAGCACAGAATCTGTATAACATCATCAAATACCCCTTTATGAATCCAAGAGTTACATGAATATATTCAGGTGGCCACTGCCAAACCATTGCCTACAAAGCACCCAACAGTCATGACATTCAAGTAATAACAAAATTTACCTAAGACAAACAAATTTTAAATTGAGGCATTTTTCAAAATGTGTATGCCCATAGGAAATCATGTAAAAAACCCCAGAACACTGTGACATATTTAGCAAAAAAACAAAAAACACCTTTTTTTTTTAACAACCAACCTTTTTCTTATAATGGGGCAATCACTATGGGCAAGTACAATAATCACATGAGTGTTGCTGAAGTCGGAGTTATTGTTTTTGTTAGTGAGACTGCAAGAAGGATAAAATCTATGGACATGGTTAACATGAAGGAACATTCATTATATGAGAACTGCACAAAGAAAGATGGTGAATTATGATGAGATGGACTAAATAAGTTTTAAAGACAGACACTTTACATGGATAGCCTTAGATGTTTTCAATGGCATTTCTTTCTTTGTAGAGAGAATTGTTTAGATCAATGCAAATTGAATTATTTAGTACTAAGCTTTCATGGTTATTATCTGCTACCATTTCTCTAACCTCATTTTCACATTCTGCATAACAGCAGCTTGAATTTATGTACTCTAGACTTGCTGACAAGCACTGACAGAAGCAATATGATCTGCATCTGAGCATTACAGAAATATGCAGCCTTAATATCCTCTTTCTCTGAATCCTTAATGGATATCACAAGTTCTAGTCTATGCTCCTCTACAGGGACTTGGAAAAACTTACGAGAAAGATGGCAGCTTACACAGAATCAGCTCCTGTGCTTTCTAAGGCAAAGTTTGTGTCTACTGAAAAACGGATTAGATAATGCCAAATTCATCTGAAACTCATGACTCCTTAATCCTCACGCAGGAAACTATTTTGGTTGATATCGAGCTCATTCAGATTTGGACTACTGAAAGAATCTACACATCCCTTCCAAATTACATCATCTGCTTTTGTGGATTACAGTCTCTTAAAAAAAAACATTTTGGTGAAAAATGGGTATAACATTACTGCCATGACTTTACTCAGGGACTCACAAAGCCAATGGTAACCTCATCATCATACTCCCAAGGAATTACAGAGCAACACACAAAAAAGGCATTTTTTATGATAAACATAAGCAGGCACTTGCTGTTCAACCTGCACACATGCATGGGAAGTTTACAGAGCTGACTGTCTACTGGGTGACTTTGATGGCATTCCCAGTAGAAACTCCTGTAAAGCTGTGACATTGGCACAGGAGACAGAGAGTCTTGCTGTTGGTTAGATAAATAACCCACAGACATCTGAAAGCTGACTGTAATTATATCCATTTTAATTGCAGAGTAATAATTACATTCAAGAATCAAACATGAAAGCTTCCTAAGGTATCTCTTAACTGGGGGGAATGACAGAACATGACTAGAAGAAACAAAGCTGTTCTGCTGTAGAAGTCATGCTTCCAAAAGAATTGAAAGCAGTAAATGACTAATGCCACCTTCTTAATCCTTTATTAGTCACATTTGTTATTGTTAGTAACCCATAGAAGCCACAAAATGCGCACAGACTCAAATACGCAATTTAGAGAGAATGTTTGGTCAAATTCTGATCCAACAAGCTCCATTCTGCTACAGTCCAGTTGTCCACATTGCTTGGAATCAGAAAGATGGAAGATGAAATGGGACAAGTATACTGAAATCATGACACCTGCAGTTTAAAATATATTTAGTGTAAACAATGCCAGGAAGATGTTCAAGACGTTGACTAGGATCGAACATAACCAATGGCTGGAATGAACAGGTAGAAAAGCTAATATTCCTCTTCAAAGTCTGTAATTAAAAATTCAGATGTCTGAAATATTAAATAGAAAATTTTGCCTGCAAGTGGATTACTCCTCACCACAAAACACACTGTTTAAGTTGAGCAGATCTGGTAAGCCTTGTGAAAAAAAAAACAAATAGGAAAAAATTGCAAATGATGGCCTGGAGCCCTACTCTTTCAATATACTTCTGAAGTTCAATAGCTCACTAAAGGCTCAATTTTTCATAGTTCTCTTAAGATCCTTTTCTTCTCCCTGACTCATCATAAAACTAATTCTGACCACAGCACAACTATCCAGTAAAGTGGATTAAAATTCCTAGACAACCACCAAAACAGTAAGGTTCAAGCTGCATTTTTTTCTTAATGGATGTTATAAGGGAAGATAAACTTTATAAAATAAGGGCATCCAACCTTTAAGCCGAAGCTTCCTGGTTCACCAAGAAAATTCATCTCACCCATGGCCTGTTCCATCAGCCTTTTTCAGGGGGAAACACAGAAGGGAGACAGTGGGCTAAAGGGAAGACTCCAATGGTAACAGCATAACTCAGGCACTCACCCTTCCTTTTATTCAGGGACACATGCTCATCTAACTTTACTATGAATATACTCAAAAAACTATTCTTAATCTAAATATCAATGGTGCAACCAAGTCAACAGTCATCATGCCAAGATCCACTGTAGAACTGTCATATCTAAAATATTCAATTATGTTTAGAAAAACAACAAAAATGTCTGAACCTTTTTATCTAGCTTTTATGCTAAAACAAAAGTTACTTACTTTCCAAACCTACATTTCTGAACTTATAACCTCTTATAAGACTAAGGACTGTGTCAGACCACAGATCCATCTGATACAGAATCCTTTCTCTGTGGCCATAGGAACATAGAGAAAAGCAAGAGAAAATGGCAGGCATACAGTATTATTATTAAAATGCATGGTATTTTAGTCATCTCCAGCAATTTCAAGCTGAAAGTCCTCTTGAGTTAGAGGTTGTGACTAGTAATGTTGTGTTTAGGGGAACAGCTGCACCCAAAATTAGGTAGTCAAAACCCTCTTAGCTTGGCACAGTGTTTCCACTATTGGCTCTAGGTCTTTTTCAACTTTGCTTTATAACAGAGACATCCTAAAGCAAAGTTAGACTCTGTGTAAGGACAGATAAATGGCAAGCAGTTCTATTTTCTGCTTTAGAGGAAAAGTAGTGCTGGTACCACTCATTACCAAAATTCAGCAGAATCTTCAGAAGGCCATGTCTGCCATTCTACCAAAAAGGATTATGATAGTTTGGTCAATTACCTTCTATAATTGTTCCCATCTCTGCTTATAACAGTACTGACAACATCACACCGCAAAATCAAAATAAAGAAGAGATGAAAATGCACTACAGGCAAATGGACAAGCTCGATTTCAATGTGGAAGAGAAAAGGCCTGGAGAGGAAGGCAATTCATATAAATCAAACACACATGACAGTTTGGAAAACATCTGTGGAATAAAATTTCATAATAAAGGGAGATTAAATGGAATGACTGTCGAGAGAAACAATCCAGGGGATATCACAGCCACAGAACAAACATCTGCCAACCTCAAATGAAATTGGGGATTTTCTCAAGAACCGGAGCACATAAACACTTCACAACTTCCCCTACATACAGCTCAAGGCTGGCAATTACTGATTCATCAAGGGCTGCTGGTGTAACACTTTTTCAAAACCATATTGCCAAATTAGTCAGCCTGCAAAGAATGCAGGGCAAGCATAATAGCCCCAGTATCTCAGGCATGTGCACTCCTGGCTCTGCTTTCTGATGGGGGAGTTGTGCTGACAGCTCCACCATCAGAAAAGGACAGTCACCCAGTCTCGTGGTCAGCAAGGACACAGGCTGCTCCTCCAAGGTCATCTGAGAGCCAAACTGCAAGAGCTGTAAAAACACTCTACAAATAAAATGTGCAAATGTACACCAATCATAAATCCACACAAAAGTAGTATGTGCCAAGGTTCATGCTAAAAAGGAGAAGGAATATATAAAAGGTTCTGAATGTCAACAAGTCAAAAAACTGAAGGTAAGAATGCAAACTCCTTGCAATTTACTGGTCTCCACAAGGAAATGTGCAGGGTGAGGAATTTATATCCAGGCACAATGGACTTCACTGGTCATAAGAAATTCCACTATAGCAAAAAATTCTAGGAAACAAAATTCATATTCTATGCATATTCCATTCAAGCCAATGAAGAAAAACCTACTAATTTCATCAGAGGTTGAATAAAGCCCCAAAGCTGGATGTTATTTTTAAACACAGAGCCTTTTTTTTTAAAATTAGATTGGTCTGGATCATTATATATTGTTCTTGCTTTGAAAACATTAATAACACTTTGTCATAATGCCTGACATATCTCAAGGAAAATCTAACACACTTGCAGGCTAAACACACCACAAGTTTTCAGCAAAAGCCCACATCTCTGAACCATTATAAGCTGTAGAAGCCTGGCTTGACTTAGCTATTCACCTTAGCTCTCAAGTCTCTACAAAAAATCCAAGAAAATACAGCCACTCCATTTATCCATTAATTAAGAGCCACGGCCAACATTACTCCTAATGGGTACACAGCAGAGTAATAATTCCTTTTCAGTTAAAGAAAGATTTCTTCAGCATTTTTCAATAAGTTTTTGTCTTTAAGAACAGTGACCATGTTTAAAAAGAAGCTGCATAGATGCAATAAATGTATATTGGGCCATATGAGTGCTTCAGGTCCATTTTCATTTTTGCCTTTATATGAGTTGACAGGCACTTAACGTGCCATATGCCCTTTTTTCCCAAAGAAAGCATATATACATCTATCAGGAAAAATATTATTAATCTCTACTACTTCCTAAAATAGGTTGAGTTTACAAAGGAGCCACCTGGGAAGCTTCTCTTAAAGATCTATCCAATTTGCAGCACTCTTTCTTTGAAAATTGAAGAGGCGGTATATGGACAAGAGAAAAGAGGAAACTTTGACCTTGTCAAGTCACACTTTCAAGCCAGCACTGTAACACTTTACACATCCCAGATACTGTTCATCTGAAGTCACTGTTCTTTTCTGATACACAACCCGTAAAATTTTATACCTAAAATGTAGATTCTGTATGTTCTATTCCCGTTAAATCAATAACCCAAACCTAAATATCAGATGACAACACAACAGAGCCGGACACCATATTTTGGTTTCTTTAGAACATTTGTTGAACATTCTCCTCAGAACACTCTCCTCTCCTGCTAGCCAGCTTTCTCACAGGAGAAATATCACTCTTTATACCCATGCACCTACGAAGGGACAAAGTCACTTTCCAGACACACTGTCCCAGAGAGAAACAAAAACAAATTTCCATCAAGGTAAATCTGATCCTGTTATATTGAAGCAATCAGATCTACTCCAATTTAAAATGTCTTGGACTCAATCTATGATGTTTATATAATGTTTATGTAACTGATCCACAGTTTTAAAAATCTATAGTAACTAAATCAAGAATTAGCTAGCTAAATATTTTTAAAAGATATTCTAGTATTTCAGTGGATTTTTCCTATAAGCATAATCAATAACAATATGCTGAGCAGTTTAGGACATCTATCAACACAGAACAAAAAGATAACATTAAAATTTTATGTTTTATTTTTAACTTCCCTGCCTTACAGCTTCCTCCTTACAGTATACTGGAACCCAGTTTTTTTCAAACCAATTAAACTGCATAGGAGTGGGCTACAACCAGAAAAAATACCACATTTTCCTGATGAAAGCAGCCAAGGTGTTCTCATGGCAGACATCCTCTGCCTGAAACATTTAGAAACACTCCCTTCTAGGGCTTATGTTTCCTACCATTCAAGTGCTCTAAAAGCTCATTCTTCTGTGGCAGATAATTTACAGTACCAGAGTAATCTGTGCTTTCCTATTACTTTGTGTGCTTTTATTATTTGAACCTTGGATGGGCACATGCTACGCTGTACATATTTGAGAAAATATATATGATAAAGGCATTTGAAAAAAGAAATGTAAACATGAGGATGGAAATAGTCACCATCACTTACATCACTTATTAATTCACTGCATTTTCGGGCCAGTTCCATATTTTTGTCCTCAATAACAGGCTTGAGGAAGAGCTGAAAGAGAGAGGTAATCATTACAGGTTTATTGTCCTAAAGGGTAAAAATAGAAAGAAATAAGTACTTTGCAAAACTATTGGGGTATAACTCACCTTTTCTTCTTCTTCTTCCCAATCCTCATTTTCATCCTCCCTAAGATCCTGAATGGCAGACACTCGCATTTTAATACTTTGCAGGAAACAATGAAAACTCTTAAAAGGTTCAGTGCTGCAGGAAACAGCTCAGACCCTCCAGCATGCCTGGAATCAATGCTCCATTTGTGTCCTCCACTGCACTTAACCCTACCACAACTCCTTCCTTATTTAGGCAGCACTTGACAGTCTTTATCTGAACAATTCAGAGTGAGTGAACTGTAAGGCATTGCAGATGGCCTTGCTAGCTATCACTCACAGCAGAGCTAATGCTTTCTTACTGATAAAATATAATTAAATGACCTATTCCCAGTAACTATTTTTAAAATTACTATGAACACAAAATACTGTGATGCAGTTAATCTGTAACATAAGTGATTTAGCAAAATTAACAGGATTGAAAGGGGAACATTGACTAACTTTATGGGAAAACTGCCCAATTGTAAGATTCAAGGCATCAGTGACCCAAAATCAGTATCACAAAACTTTATTTTACTGTCCCAATAATAATGCTTTTTGTTTAAAAAAGACGTTATTCTTATTTTCCAGTAAACGTAACTGCTAGTATATTTTTTCAGAATTACATCTTATCCACAAAGCTTACAGAATTCCTTAAATTCTTTCCATAATCATGTCAGCTGCAGGTTAAACCTGTACATACATAGATACAGACAAGTCTCTAGTACAAGTATAAATGGCTATGTATTCACACAAACAAGTATGTTCCTTCACTGTTACAAACTGTCGTAGTCTGTAGTCTAAAAACCAACCTTTTTGAGGATGAAGTCACCAACTCCAGCTGCAATGAAACTGGAAGATATTCTTATGTTCATGGATGCAGTGTCAGTGTTTACTTCTGTAAAACAAGCAAGAACGTATTACAAGACCAATTGGAGAAACCAGCATTTTAATATCATTTTTCTTTCTAAACTGTAGCTTGTCTATTTCTCATTTTGTAGAAGTGTGATTTTGAACTTCATCTAGCAAAGTTATTCACCACTACACAGCTTTGCAATCAGGCAAAGATATAAGGAATGCGTGCTCTTAGAAACAACTCTTTAAAGAATTTTAAGTACATGTGCTCAAACACAATGTCCAGAGTTTATTTAAAAACACAGATTTCCTTAGAAAAATAAACATTTCAAAGATGAGAAAAAATACAGCATTGGATTTAGTTAAGGTCTAAAAATTTGAAAAATTAAGTATTAAGAACAAAGGCAGAAACTGCTTTGAGCTTAAACTAAGAGAGAGAACTCTTTATACATTAATAGTACAGAAAGCTTCCAGACTTCCCATTCCATTCTCAAATAAAAGCTCCTAAAATTCAGGTTTGAACCTTCAGCATTGCTGAAGTTCTGAACCTAGGAAATCTAGTGTGCATAGGTGAGAATTACCTGTGATATATGGTGATTGCTTTTGGACTTTCAGGATGCTTCATCCTGGTGGAAACAAATGGTTTGCTCTTATGAGTATTCACAGTAACAGGTCTCTTTCGAAGATTATGGCTACAGCAAATATGTTCCTAAACAATAGACTCATGCATGATTATAAGGACTACACCATAAGGAGAAAGGGTACCTACAAAAGTGTCAGACAGAAATGCAGCACTAAGGCTTCACTTATGGATTTTTGTGATAATATTGCCAATACTGTATTCTTTCAGTGCAGTTCATTTCCTTTTCCTTCCTACAATTAATAATTTTTTTAAGTGGAGACATTGAAAAATATTTAAGAGTGTATAGAGAAGTTATTAGTAGCTGCAAAGCTTGCTGGACATACAGAAATCTTTTGCTATTTTTTGCACTGGAAAGCAAATATGGTTAAAATTACAACACCAAAGCTGTTAATGTTTTGGGGCAAAAGGGAGGTAGTTTGGCTTTTTAATATGCATTTAACATTATATCTGGTGGGTTTTCAGCAGCTGGACAGACCAAAACTTATATATTAATTCTGGTTTCCCTGCAATGGCTTCTTCATAATCAAAATCTGTGAGATCACTTTTGGTCAGCCGTGAAGTGATCAGGCAGTTGGACTACAGAGTCACTGGAAGTCCCTTCCAACTGAATTATTCTACTCCGTTCCATTCTATTTTATTCTACTGTCTGTAACAGTTGTGATATAATTCTTTTTTCCTCATTTTTGCATAATCTGGGTAAGGCAATGCCCTGTACCCCATGTAACTTCCATAATACAAGGATTACAAGACATCTGCTATAACTCATCATAGTAAAGAAAAATATAATACTATGTACAAAGGGAGTAAGGGGAAAAAAAATAACAGAATCAACTAACCATACACACATTATTCAACACAAGTTATTCCAAATTTTCACATAACAGATGCAGCAAGTTATTATGCAACACAGAAACTTGTCTCATTTTTTTTCAACTTCCTCAAAACACTGAACACTATCAGAAAACATTCACTGTGCAATGAAGCAAGCCTGCAAGTTTAATATATCCAGATATAATTCAGGAAGAATTTGTTAGGAGCATTTAAGAGTTGTATCACTTAGAAATGCACTATGATTCAATTAGCAGCCTGCAAGTCAAGAAGAATCATAGAAAGGCTTGGCTGGGCAGGGGCTTTAAGATAATCCAGTTCCAGCCCCCCTACCGTGGGCAAAGGTGCCACCCACTAGATCAGACTGCTCAGGGCCCCATCCAACCTGGCCTTGTTCAAGTGGCCTTGAACACTTGCAGGCATGGGAAAGAAGATTTAGCTACTTCTACAGGAGGCAATAAATAATCTAGAATCAGCAGGGATGTTTGGCATTGCAAATGTGTATGTACATTTCAAATATTTTTAAAATTATTATAAAAATACTAAATCTAAACTGAATAAAGACCTAGTTAGAATGCTGAGCATTTACATCCCCACAACAATTATGAACTATGTTGTACTGAAGATTACTTTTCACCTACAAAACCTTCAATTTTACCAAAACCTTCAAACTGACAGCTCTGAATCATTTTCTGCTACATATAATGGAATAATCCATAATCTTTTGTTCTGGCATGAAACAGCACAGATTAAGTAAAATCCAATTGTACAGAACTTTAAGAAAATGATGTAATGGATTGCTAAGCTGTGTATCCATAATACTTATGTGCATATAGAGCATGGCAAAATTAGAATTTCTTATTGCTTTATAGATACCTTAAAATGTGTACAAATGGGTTCTTCAGGGAAGTACCCAACATGAACTAATTCAAATTTTGTAAGAAAATGCTGCATAGCTCCACAATTCTACTTCCACACACCTGCAAGGACATCTCAATTCAAATTTAGCCTATGCCGTTCACAAAAACACTGTACCTACAACACACAACCTTTGTTTATGCTATGAAAGGAGACATTTCAGTGTCCCAACACTTAGAGCCATCATTCCGTGTGTCAGTGTACTATTTTTTGTCACAGAACATTACTCAAGCACTTGATGTAAATACATGTCTGCTGAGGAAGTTGAAGAGGAAGAAACATGGGGCATAAACAAGCCCAAATCCCTCTGAGTGCAGGTGGCCCAGAGTGTCAATAGTTCAGGTGCACAGCTGGGCAGATTTCCCACTTTGATCACACACAGCTGAGTCCACATCTGGCCAGAGCCCCACCGTCTCCTTGTCCCTTTATCACTTTTTCAAGAAATACATTTGGGAATCATTAGCCCAGAAAGTTAAAAGTATCATCTTGTTTTAGGCCTTGACACACATAACAACTTAGCAGTGATTTTCAGTTCTGTCCCTGAACAAACAATACCTCTGGACTTCTCTGGCATAATCCCTAAAAGCCTTCTGATATATGCAATATTTATACTACAATTTATATGCAATAATTTACTGCTGGGCTGAAAGGACCAGTCTACCACTTCACAGAACAGCAGAACCCGTCTGGTAAAGACACCAGAAACCTCACAATCTCAAACTTATTTAATGCAGAGTTTCTCATGGGGTACTCGAACATAGGCTGCAAATTAAGGACCAAGGTATTTCAGTTGGAAACCTGCACAGCACTGTACTGAGATGTATGTATATCACGAATATACTCCTTTCAATTCTGGACTGAAACTCTAACAAAAACGGAGGTAAAGCTAGTCCTTCAGCTATCCTGTTTCCAATCAGTCAAAAATCAACCCACAGACATCCCTGAAATTAAAATGCTACTTTCTGTTCTTACTAGACACACACAGATACCACTGAAATAACTACAATTAATTCAACATAACATAGATGGTGGTGTCTTTTCAAAAAGCACACAAGGCATTTTTAAGTGCTAAGACTTGATCACTTCTCATTTCTAGAAGTACTCAGACTGGAAGTTCCTAACAGCCCTCCATAAGGAAGTTCATAGGCTATCAGCACCACAATCACAAACAGAAAAATGCAAGGAATCCCAGCCTGCCAGTTTTAACCTCACTGAACATGAAATACCAATTCACATTAACTAGAGAAATTCAAGAGATGACTCTATTTAGAGAAAAACTTACCCACAAGTTTGTATCTGACAGATCATTAACAATGCACTCATCAGCAGCACTTCAAAACCTGCAAATACTTCATGGCTGAGCTAGGATTTTCATTCAATAGAAGTTCTTTTATTTAATGTTTTGGTAAAACTGAGAGTGGCAATGATATTTTTAAGGACAAATACAAATGAGATGTTAGAATTCTGACTTCTGAATCCTAGAAAACCTAAAGAATGTTCAGTGCCTAATAGATAGAGAAACATTAGACATAGACATTTTTGTAAACTCACACTCTCAGACATTGTCTAGCCTAACTGGATTTTGATGTCAGAGCATTTCAGATGTCTGTATGTTTCACATAGAAACTAATTTCACATAATAATACCCAATCTAATCTAGATATCAGAACCCACGTGACCTGAGTTAATAAACTCTTTCCCACACAATTCATTATCCTGAGAAATAAACTCATTTAGAAGGGAGAGTATTTATCAGGGTGCAAGATTGTGCCATGCACAGTCTTACCTGTCTTGCCTGTGATGAGGAACAATATATTAAAATAAACCAAAATAAGTCATTAAAATAACTCCAAAACCTCACTTCATTTTTTGACCAGTATTTGTAATTGTCTACTGTGTTTACACAATACTTTTTAAGCCTCAAAACAGTTTTTTCTAGGTGGGATGCACAGTTCTAGCTACATTTTCCTGGTTTTTCATTTGTCAAGAAATTTAATCCTCAACAATGAGGGAATCTGGTATTTCCACCCCCTCAATATTTTCAGTTTAACCAGAAGCCTGAAAATCTATCCCTCCTACAGATCCTTCTGCAAGCTGGAATCAGGAGCTGAGATGCCACATTTGACTGCGCTGTAACTGTTCAATCCACTCCACCTGACTGCTGTGGCATTTCCCTTTCTTGTCACAAAGCCCCTGTCCCCTCACTCAAGTGTTCCCCTAGGTGTGGCAGTGCCCTTCAGCACTCCCAACAACAATGAACAGTCTGGGTATTTTCTCCTATTACCTACAAAATGTGGAGCCCCATGCTCCCGTGTGCTGCATGGCCAAGAGCCCCACAGCTCTTGGTGCCCTGTAACCAGAGGGGGGAAATGCACATCCAACCTTTCCCTCTGCCCTGCAACTGTGGCTCAGATTTCATAAGGCTGCTCTACAGGAGATGGCTAGAAAACAAAATTATCATTTGACTGGGTTACTGGGTGAGGTATCCATAAAAGCAAAATCACAGCAGAAGAAGGAGTTACAGCTTTTCTCTTAATGCAGAAAAGTTTGGATAAAAGACCAAAGTTCTCTGTTCACGAAATTTTAATTTTATCCAAAACTAAATCCTTTGAAAGAAAGAGACAGGAATATATAAAGTTTGGGAAATTTATTTTTCTATAAATCCCAGCTAAAATCATTAATGATTGTAGGTGAAAGGTATGAAGCCAGTAATAAACAAGTTCCATTTTGCCTCAATAAATTCTAAAAAGCTAAGTATATCTCCTCTTATGACTACACATTCATATAGGGCTTACTGTAATCTGAAATAATAGAAAATATGCATTTATTTTATGTGCAGATTCTTAGTTCTTAGCCACATATATTGGGCATGTTTGCTTGCCAGGAAATTTTCTTGTAGCATTACATTGAATTCAACTGCCTGAACTGGCAGAATCTCCTGGAGCAGGAAGAGAAAATTGCACATTTCCTATAAATTTAATTTTCAACCTATAACCCTCACTTAATGAATGGATTTTTTCTAGAAACTAAAGCCAGAGTGGTTTATTTTACTTGTATTTGAGTTTTTTCTTCTTCATATTTTATGTATTTTAATAGTCCTAATACTGTAACTCTCTGAACAGAACAATACCAACATCATAAGTAACATACATCTTTAAAAAAAACCTTTAAAACTTTACTGTTCTGGAACACTTCATGTTACTGTGATTCTCAGGCAAGTTAAATTTGCATCAAATT